TGTTTATTTTTAATATGTTATTTATTTTTAGACCTGCCAGTAAATGAGTATAAAAGTCCGACTGAACTCGTGTGTGTCTGGTGTAATGAGTGTGCGTGTGAGAGGAGTGTTTATTGGCCAGTGTGCGTCTGTGGGCGTGTCAGTATTATAAAAACCACGTTTACCACAACGTTGTCTAAGTTTCTTTTTCAATTCTTGCTTCAGTTAATGAAAAATTCTGAGAACCCAGGAACATAAAATTTGAAATATCTTAACTTTTTCATTTTTTACGATGTACGTTTTGTTTTCCGTTTTCGTATTTTTTTGTAGTAGTTAACAGAGGCTTAACCACAAAATTTTTTTCAACTCATTTGGCTTTCCTGAATTTGTATGTTTGCATGTGTTTGTTTTTCGGGTGTGTAACCGTGTGTGTGTGTGTGCGTGTGCACGTGGGTTGTTAAAACTTTCCATTTCCAGGTTTGAATTTTTTACTTGTTTTTGTATTTTTAATTTGTACTTGCACTTTGTAACGTTGAAGCACCTATGAACTTTGACCTGATCTCGTGAACTTCATAAAAATTGCAATTATATATAAATACACATATTTATGTTAGTTGATTAGTTATGGTTATATATATATACATACATTATACGTAACTATACGTTATCATTATTAATATAATAATTTTAATATATATATGATAATATAACATAATAAACATTGTGTTATATATCTTAAAGTAAAAAAAAATTGTTTTTTTTAAACGTTCAAAGGTCTTTAATCTTTCTTTCCCTATATAAGCAGCAGACCACTGGAGAAGATTAGTTGATTTGAAGTTTTTATACATTAAAAACGAAAATTTTCGAATTAATATGAGACTAATTTTCGTTTCGTTTGTTTTCTTGTTTAACGCTATCATAACGTTGGCACAGGGAAGAGGTTCGTGAAAGTTTTTTAAAGACGAGTAAATAAAAAAACTGAATTAAATGTTTAAATAAATGCAATTTTGTGAAATAGAATTAATCAGCAATAACTTACAATCTGTCACTTTTCTATTACCATTTCAGATGACCGCCACGATATCAAACTGACGTGTGAGACTGAATGAACGAATCAAAGAATTAACATAAAAAAAATCTCTTCAAATTATTTTATTGATTTTTAATGTTGAAAATTTGCATAGCGTATTTTTACTTGTTACTAAATAACCTCACAGTTGATTGTTCAGAGGTGAAACTAAACGAGCACCATTACCAGCTCTGTGATCTGAAGGTTGAAAAGCCCCGCAATATCACCTACAACAGCACCACGTTGAACGCGGTCATCAACAGCTGCCTCGAGTAAGCTGCCTTGCTAGATTATTACTCTATTTTATTATCTCTATTATTAATCTGCTAAATCAAAATTTTATTATTTCTATTTTCATTAATTAAAGTATATGCAACGCTTCAAAGTGCCGAATTTAGATCGCAGACCTGTTTTCGCGATACAGTGGACCAGATGATGAGGACTGATTATTATTTGGAGGCAGGTGTGGGCTACGTCAGGACGACAGGAATCAAATACAAAGATTACCAAGGTTCATTCACGCCATACACATCATAACGTTTATTTCAGTTTTAGAATCAGCATTTCAAATCGAAGCAAGATCGTTGGAGCATCTCACGTGCTACCGTACAACATTGTCTCTGCCCACAACCTCCATCTCACTACTCAACGACAAATATTGCACATTCAAGTCGATGACGAACCTACGCCAACAGTGCAGGTAGTTTTACTAAATTAACTTCCTCCAGACTCGGTCCTACCCACGGACTCCTATTATTAATTTTAAACGTTATTGCAAATTTCAGTCTGAGGTGTGTTGTAAATTTTAATAAAAAAAAAAATTGTTTTTTTTTTTATGAAAGAAAGTGCAAATTTGATTAGTTTCAAACGAGAAAAAGTTTTTTTTATTAATTACAAAGTTTTTAAAAAGTAATTTTTGAAGAGATTTTAACCCGGTGAGCCCCGATGTTTGTGCGATCAAATTCAACAATTTCAAGTTCAAAAAAACTTCACAGTTTTTATTTGTTCTATATCAAAATTGCGTAATTATCGTTTCATTATTTTATGAATTTTGCTATGAAAGTTTTATGATGCTATCTAGTTTCATTAACAAAAAAACAAATAACATACAACACGGAAACAATTCCACTCAACTGGTTCGATCTATGTTTTTAAAAATTTTAATAAACTTGTAACTTTTAAAATGCTCAGTTCTGAAAAATCGAAAGCAGTGATCGCAGTTAACGATTACTCGCAACGTTCAGTGGACGGGGCACAATCTCGAGCCGGTTGGAGGAAAACAGAGTCCTTCTCCACATCAGCCGAAAGTCGATCGTGCTCACACCTCGCCGGTCTGTTTCAGTTTGCTCGCATGCAAATTTGTGTTTAAATTTTTATTTTTAATTAAATCCTTAAATGCATACAAATAAACAAGCTATTTGTGGGCGCACATATTCATCCATCCAGAGTTCCCCATAGTCCGAGGACCGTCCACGCCGATAGCAATATCATTTGTTCCGCAAACCCTGTCCCGACTCGGCATGCTTTTTTACCATGCATGTTTTCTGCATTCCATTCTTCAGTATCATCTAACCATCTTCTTGCGGGGTTTTCTTTTTTCCTCTCTCCTTCTGTTCTGGCAGACATAACCATTTTCATGAGCCTGCCTCGTGTGCACGTACACACTTACAAACAAACACCTTTGGTTAAAATTGTCGCCATTCTGCACATGTTTATTGATTTTACTGGTTTTCACTTGAATTTCTGTTAATCAGAGCTTTACTTTTTTTTATATATAAACAGTAATTAACCAGAGATGTGTGAAATTGTTATCAAACATTAAAAAAATATTTGTGATCCGCTGCTACTTGCAAGAAATTTTTTATAAGTCGAAATTTTTGCAACATTACCTAGGCTGTTGTTAAATATGTACATGCAGCTTATTATAACCCCATCGTTTTGCATATTATTATTGTTATTACTATTATTATCAGCAATGCATATGTGTAGCTCACTCAAAGTATACGAGCACTTGCTAACAAAATATAATAGCACTAAAATAAATTTGATAATTTTTAAACAATTCCAAATTATAATTTTGTTTTAATGTCAATAGCTTCAGGAATGGTCTTTGAGTTTTCCGGTGAAGAAGACGTTTGCAAACGTAAGTTGAATCTCAAAATTTAATTTCTAATCCAATGTCTAGGTTGGAAATAATGAAAATGTAAAAATGTGTCCATTCATCAACCACTGACAGCTTTTATTTTTCATTTTGTTTCATTAATTTGATTTATTAATTTCAATTATTCGATGATTTAAAATATAATAAACTGATATAATAAATAAATTAATTAATTTGGTTCATCATAAACATTTCTTAGCGGCAATCTCTTACAAAGACAGTATTTGAAAATCCCATTCGCCATCCTGCACCGTCTTCCTATTTCGACCTGGAATTGGATGAATTTATTTTTTTTAAAAACATCGATATATGAAGTTCAAATATTGATTTATAATAATGATGACATCATTCAGGGGCGTCCACGGTTGGGTTGGGGAAAGGCAATCGCCTCCCCTTCAAGTTAGGGAAATATTTTATTAAAAAAATGGTTTAAACTATTATATTTTATTTTTTGTGGCCATCAATGAAATGAAAGCCACGTGCCACCAATTGGAATACAGAATTTTAAATATTATTTGTCCTCTATTTATAAAAAGCATCTCCGAGAGTTGTATGTACATTAGCATATTTGTAGAATCAGTAAGCCTGGGCAAAAGTGTTGTACGTTTATGAAAACAAATCTGTCGGATCGTTAGGAGTAGTATATCATGTTTAATAAACATATTAAACAATTATTTCAAAGCATTAAGCGTTATGTTTAAGTTAAATAGATATCGATACTTTGAAAGTAAACATTAATTAATCAAATAACGTAGAATAACCACACGCAGTGACAGATTTGTGCCGTGCCAAGTTTACTTGTTGAAAATTATCAATCGTGCGACACTTTTACACAGGAGTGTAATTTGCAATAAAACAAGAAAATAAAATAATAATGCGTTATATTTTCTTTGTTCTCAAGGGGTAATTAGCATATTAGGTATGTCCAATTAGACTATCGGAATCCATCATTGATACACATATGCCCCTATATGCTACCAATAACGTTAACGGGTTCACCCTTTTTATTATATATAAAAATTCAAAAGATTGACCCAAGAAGGAATTTTTGTCTCCAGAATTTGAGGGGGATGGTAGGAATTGGACGCTTCCGATGCATCTAATGTTTATTCATCGTTTATTCATTTGAGGTTGAGATTGAACTTTATCGCGATGAAAAATAATATTGTTTGTTTTTAATTTGAAAATTTTTCTCGGTTGTTGGAAATTTGCTGTATGAAATATAAAAATGAAATTTAATTAATAAAATTTTGGTCTTTTTTTTCAAATCATTGTTACTTATCTGCATTTTATTCAGCCATATATATATTCATGTTTATTCATTTGAGGTTGAGATTGAGCTTTATCGCGATGAAAAATAATATTGTTTGTTTTTAATTAGAAAATTTTTCTCGGTTGTTGGAAATTTGTTGTATGAAATATAAAAATGAAATTTAATTAATGAAATTTTGGTCTTTTTTTCAAATCATAGTTACCTATCTGCATTTTATTCAGCCATACATATAATTAAGTCATTATAGACGTACATTAATACATTGAACGTCATAAACATACAATATCGAGGGTATCAAATATTTCACACGTTAAGTTTTTAAATAATAACAATAATAATAATAATTGTTTTAATAAAAGTTTTACATCAACTATAATGAACATTAAGTTTCACGTATGTTTGATATCAGTATATAACAGATATCAATTTATTAAATATCACAGATATTACGTAAACGTATCACAGAGAAAGTAAAAACAGTATAAAAAAATAAATTGATGATTGTCAGATGTTTTAATGAAAAAAATTATTGCACATAGCAAACAAGCGTTACAAAAAATAATTATATTTTTTTGTGACGGTTAGTTTTGACGAAAAAAATTTTCACAGAAAAAACTTATCAAAAATTTATAACCATCAGAGATGTTGTGAGAGGTCACTCTACAAGTGATTGTAACCTCCTACGTATCTCTGATCATGGTCATTTGGGATATTCTTTTTTCACACTTGCTACAAATCAGGTAGAATTATAAAAATTATATGATTTTTTAGTGGATTCACACCAAATAAAAATAACAAGGAAAATATTAAACTTAAATAACAAAGTGTTATATTACAACCATAATATAAGCAATTTGAAAATGGCAGAGATTTTATTAATAAAAAATAGAAACCCTGTAATAAAAATCCAACAAAAAGCTGTAACGATCCTACCAACAAAGAAGTTAATCACACAAAGAAACATTGGAGCTTAGGTTTAAAAACACTATAAATACCTGATGAACTACATATAACAATATCACAAACTCTATTACACTGATGATGGTAAAGGTTAGCGAAAAATGCTTCTATGTAAATGTATATACGAAAAATGCAGTCTAAAATAATTTTAAATTTTATTGTTAATTTGAATAAATTGAATAATGTTGATAAAATAATTGTTCAAAAAATTGAAAAACTTAGTTCCTAACTCAACAATGCGGAAAATGCGGTGATATTTCTTAATAACTGTATAAAAATAAATGACAGTCTGAACCCATATGTATATATATATATATAATAATATATACTATGATATATATATTCAAGGCTTATTATATATATATATATATGTGTGTGTGTGTGTATGTATAGTAATATATAATCCAAGATATATATATATATATATATAATATATATATATATATATATATATATATATATATATATATATATATATATATATATATATTGGTAATAGACCATAATTTTTACAATATTCTATAAATTCTACCGAATGTTTGGCGTTAATATGTTTGTAGTTCGTTTTTTCGATTTTTCTCACTAAAGTTTTTTGGTGAACGTTTAGTTTATTAAAATTCAAAATAAACTTATTTTTCGAATTCATGCTGCAAATAAGGCCATATTTTGATTCCAAATGAATCATCATCAGTGCTCCTTGCTGTATATATAGGGAAATATTGACTTTGTCAAGATGAACTTTGACGTTGTAAAAATTAACTTTGGTGTTGTAAAGTTGAACTTTGATGCGAATTAGGTGTTGCTGTCGAGGATTTCACGGCTAATTGTGATTGAGTGTGTTGAGTCCAAATGAGATTTGATAGCACCACTCTGTTTATGCATCGTAAGCCTTCTAAGTCAGTGAGGTAGTAGTAATCCCGATATATGAGTCATGTTGACGTGCACAGCCGTCAAAGGGGCAATTAAATTCATATATTACGTGATTACGCTTTAACTCAGAGTTATCTCTAGGACTGCAGTTGTTTTTCAGTATTAGGTGAGACGTCTTTTTATTGTTGTAATAAATTCGGAGTTTAACTTTACTATTTGGGTTGGTTGGTGTGACATTTTTATTGATGATATGCTTAAGAATAGCTTCATCTACCTTGTATGCTGTTGACATGTGATTTCTGTAATACAAGATGATGTCGTTATCTTGATTGTTGGTACTAGGAAGGTTATTGCTGTGTAGTAATTTGTTTTTAACAATCTTTTCAATAGAGTAAGTCTTATATCCATTGTTTACAAGCAGGTTAGTGACCCTCTTTAATTCAGCGTCGCGATTTTCAATATCGGAAGAGTGTGTGAATGCCCGGTTCACAAATGATTTTATTGTGCTGTCTTTAAATTGTTCAGTGCATTCACTTTGTCCATTCAAACAAATTCCTGTATTCGTTTCTTTGACATAGACCGCGGTTTTGAATCGTTCTTCGCCACGGGTGACCAACACATCGAGGAAAGGTAAACGTTGTTCCTTTTCACTTTCAATGGTAAACCTAAGTTTTGATTTGTTTAAGGTACCAAGAAGTTGGGTGATTTGTTCAGGATCGTTATAGGAGACAAAGATATCATCCACGTATCTGGCGTAGATATTTGGTTTTAAACTTGCATTGTTTTTGAATGTTTCATTCTCCAGCTGTCCTAGGTAAAAACTGGCAAATAGGACGCCAAGGGGGGAACCCATATGGCCTTATTTGCAGCATGAATTCTAAAAATAAGTTTATTTTGAATTTTAATAAACTAGTATGGCCTTATTTGCAGCATGAATTCGAAAAATAAGTTTATTTTGAATTTTAATAAACTTAACGTTCACCAAAAAACTTTAGTGAGAAAAATTGAAAAAACGAACTACAAACCTATTAACGCCAAACATTCGGTAGAATTTATAGAATATTGTAAAAAATATACTTCCAATTTAACTTTTCGATTTTTTTAACTCACCAATATTACATTTGAACAAATATATTAGATAGCTATGATCCATTATCGATTCTGGTTTACTAGTAAAGTGTAAAAATATTTGATCATCTGGGCACAACCACAACATATCAATTTGAACACCGACGATGGTACCTATAGGAATACCGAAAAAAGCTTTTCTATTCTATCATGCATAAAATAAACAAAAATTTTGGTTTTGAACTAAAGAAACTTGAAAATGATTTACGATCAACCGTTAGAAAAATTGAAAAGTTAATTTGAAAGTTAACTAACGCCGAACATACTGTGATTTTCATCAATAATTGCATATTTACATATATATTATATGTTGGTAATAGACCATAATTTTTACAATATTCTATAAATTCTACTGAATGTTTGGCATTATTATGTTTGTATTTTTCTCACTAAAGTTTTTTGGTGAACGTTTAGTTTATTAAAATTCAAAATAAACTTATTTTTCGAATTCATGCTGCAAATAAGGCCATATTTCGATTCCGAATGAATCATCGTCAATGCTCCTTGTTGTATGTATAGGGAAATATTGACTTTGTCAAGATTAACTTTGACGTTGTAAAAATTAACTTTGGTCTTGTAAAATTGAACTTTGATGCGAATTAGGTGTCAGGTGTCTTAATTGGCTGGTCATCTTATTTGGTTTCCTTTTCTTCATCGATAGCATCATATTCTTCTTTGTCACTATATATATTATATATATGTGTATATATTATATATGTGTGTGTGTGTGTGTTCGTGCGTGAGTGTGTGTATGTATGTGTGTGCGCCTTTGTGTTTTAAAAAGCACATTGCCCGTTAATTAGCATATTGTGCTAGAGGGATGCGCTGCTAGTATATTTGTTGCTAAGGGGTCATTAACATATTACGTAAATGGTGGCCATTGGTGTCTCGAAACATCCATGACTAAGCTATCTGAAAAACCACCCATTGACTTGAATTTTTAAAATTTTTAAAGAACCAACGCTTTTATAAAGTTGTCCTAATGTTCGGTTTTGTCAATGAGTTTGGCTTTATTAAATGCAATATAAGGGATGATAATAGCGGAATAGCGGTGCTACAGTAGCATCGCTACTTTTCTAGAACTGACAGTAACGTTATTAGTAGCAGGGCTACTTTTAAAGTAAAAATAAGATCGCTATGTTACGTTTGAGTAAAAATTTTTTTCTCACAAGATCTTGCGTAATAATTAATTAATATTCCATTTAAAGAAACCTTATAGATTGCTGATGGTTGTTTTGCTTTTATTTGCTTTATTTCGGTTTATTTTTGCTACTTCGCAATTTGAGTGGTTTGTTATTTATCGTATATTGGGTTAAAAATCCGTGATTTTAAATTTAGCATGTAGTTTTATTTAATTCTAACCCGTGGTTTTATTCAGCTTTAACACGTGGATAACTAAAGTTATTAGTTTTTTAAATATTGCTCAAGATTAACAGCCACTCAAGAATATTCAGGTAGAATTCTTTGAAACGTTTTATTAAAAATTAAACGATAGGAAAATATAAAATCATGAAATACTAACTTCGTCATATAATCTGCGCAGAAATTTAGATAACATTGATACAAACCTGTCAACCTACTAATCGGAAATATTTTTTCAACAAATTGGTCTAAATATAATTTTTCACACTAACAAAATATTTTTATTTGTAAAGATTGTTAAATTTTCATGTTGCATTGACTTCCCGTTGTCTGCGAACAAAGGTTTATATGCATTTAAAAAAATTTCACAATTTGACCGGCTTTCTTTTAATGTTCGTGTTGTTATTATAAATACAAACAGATTAGCGAAAATTGTATTTGAAAAATTTTGTTTGTCAAAATGGAAAAACCAAATAGAAGCTGAAAAAACATATTAGTAACAAGTTTAAATAACGAATTAATAATGAATGAATAAATTAATATATATAGATTTAATAAGGAAACTGAATTAAATTGATATGTTATTTACAACATCCTCACATCATATCAACAGTCATTGTTACAAATGTTAAAGATAATATTATTCTGCTAATCTTCGAAAAAATGAAGAAAAAAAATAAATAAAAAAAATTGAAAAGATAGTAGCAAATGCATCCATACATAAATGTCTACTTCTTTTTTTCAAAATTCTTAACATTTTAAAACACATGGATCGATGTAGTGACCACTTAAATTTTCTCCATCGCCTACCTCTCATCCATTTGCTGCTCGGTGTCGTAACCTTTCTATAAGCTTCGACCTTTTTCTATCGTGAATAACAATCAATTGTGTTTATAGCAAAAGTAAATAATATTGTTCAACTAAATTGAAAAGTATTCAAAGATGGAAATTTTTTTTAATTAAAAGAATTCAAAAATATTCAAAAAAATAAACCTACCAATAAGACTAGATTGACACTGTGAGTTTGAATGTTGTGTGCCAACTCTTCAGGTATGTCGGAAAAGGAAGAACATACCAAAGATGCATTTCTTCCCATCTCTAACACATCCAAGAATGGCACCATCCAATTACGACAACTTTCCATCTCTTCACTTGAGAGAGCTAGACATTAATTAGCAAATTCCAAATTAGGAAGAGATCAATGAATAATTGAACATCTCTGATAACATGTGCAAACATTAATATGCATCAACACCAACCAAACAACGCTATCCAGCTATCTAACATCATTATCAACCTATCAAACAACACACATCAACCAACCAACCTGTGATCTGAGTAACGGTGATGATGCTCTTGACATAAAAACTAATAGTAGTGGCAGCTAGCAAGTGGTATCCAAATTGAAGTGACTCAGTGCTCATGAGACAAAGATCCAACAATTGACTGGCCCTGACGAAGACATTCTGGTTGTATTGAGGCACAAAAAAATCCTCTTCTGCTTTATAAGCCTCTATCTGCAAAAATACACCCATCCAACAGATTGCAGTCACAGGGGACAAATTCCAGCAAAGCACCTGATGAAGTACATTTGTTTCAAGACAAATTTCCAATTGTTTCAAGTTATGTATATGGTTCAGTTATTTGCAATGTTTAAATTAATGACATTTTATTTATACAAGAATGCACAAAAATCAGGCATAGCTCAACTTTTTTTTCTCAATCACTTTATAAGAAAATATAAAACGCAACTTGATTTATTATTCAATAGAAATGAAAAATATCGAAACTAAATTTGCCCTAAAAAATTTAAATACTTGCCTGTAACATGTGTAGCTCAAATGTCAAAACTTCCTTAGTAGAACAGGCTCCGTCTGTTTTGGAACAAAACTTTTTAAGTGTTGGTGGGTAGATTTCCTGGTTGAGTAGAAATGTACGAACATATCAAATTTAAAAATGAATTATTTGAATTTTTAGCAAAATCTGCATTTTTTCATATATCCATCATAGTACCATCATTTTTCACCACCACAATCCTCATAATGCATACTTCATTCTTGGAAGCAATGAACAAGGATGTTATCCCAATCAACCACATTGTTGTCTTTTCGATCCCACTTGATCTGCTCAGGTACCTAAATATTGTAAAAGTTCACGAATGTCACTATTAGTCGGTCAATTACATCAATGCTATCTAAGTGCTATACAGAATATTTGTAAAAATAATGTTAGTTATATGTTATACAGAATATCTGTAAAAATAACCACACATGTGCATATACGTATAGCATTTCAATCTACAATTGCAGAAGCAACAAGCTTATGACAGTGCTTTTCAAACTTTTTTTTTTCACGGACCGGTACGGAATTTAATGGGCATGCTGCGGACCACCATTACACAATATATATATATATATGTATGTATATATATATATATATATATATACAATAAATAAACATACCGTGAATGTTGGTAGATTTGTAGATTTTGTTAATTTGTTAATTTTAGAAGCATGGAATCTTTTGACTACAATGTTTATTAAAAATAAATAATAATTACAATTACTTCGATATTTTGAAACAAAATTTAAATAAAATGATATAAAAATTAGTGTGAAGAATGAGTTTGTTTTCTTTATGGGACTACGTCAATGGCGTGGTTCAAATGAAGACAAAGCGGCACGTAGTGGTGAAGAAACTTCCAAAGAGTTTCTGAATTTTGTCTTATCACAGCCATACATGAAAACCCGATTTCGCACAAATAAGTAGAAGTAGGAATGAAGACTTTTCATAGCTTATTCGGCGAGCTCTGGGTATTCCGACCTAATGCTTATCCAAAATGCGCTCAAGCGAAGATGCATTCTCAAATCGCATCTGTAACCCTTGGTCAGCTGCAAGTTCCGAAATGTTATCTTCCAGTCTAACGGTTAAATTCTCTCTAAGCGTAACAGATGGATTTCTGAAACTAACCTTATTTTAATTCTAAACACTTTTTATTAACTTCAATAAACTTTAATAACTTATTCCGTTTCAATCAATTTCAAAGTCACAGATACATGCGATTACGTAATTTTAAAGTTCCGCGTAGCTCTTTGTTACAATAACCACGTGTTTTTGAACAGCTGATCACACGCACATGTTTATGCAAATTAGTTGATATTATATTTATATATATGTATATATATAGTGTGCATGATATAATGATACTTTTAAACAGCTGATAACGTTTTTTTTATTTTATTTATTTTTGAAGGATGACAAAAAAAAATAAACCGGTGGATAGGCCTCCCTTAACTAAAAATTCTAACTATAAATGTAACAGAAATGAAAAAATTAATACGTACATATAAACTCACGCTCACACACACTTACAAACACGCACCATACTACAATTCATATCACAATACTGTTATACAGAATACAGAAGAAAACAGAATCAATGAAATGATCTGGAAACTCAACATACGCTCACTTACACACTCAAATAAATAGATACATAAACAAATATGGCCACACACCATACATATATAGGGCGTGGTCATATGTCTCAGGGCACAGCTGCGTGCATGGCCATCTTACACATAGATATGTACACCTCCATATACATCCCCGCTGTGCCCTGGTTAATGCTCATAGAATACAATATTTATATACATATATACACATTTCTACACACACACAGACACATGCACTCACACATACACACACACTCATTTAAACACACACACACACATGTACACTTACCCACACACTCTCTCACGCAAGCACACACAAACACACACACACGCACATATACCTACCCTCAAATACAAATACATACACACACACATACATATTTCGTCGAACCTGATCGAATCTCCCACCAAGCCCAACATAATTCATATTCCTAAAACTTATTACATATGTATATATATGTATGGTCCGTTACGGTTAATATATCATGCGTGAAATACTATTTCTTGCTCACTTTCATACTTATCTAACACTCTAACCATGTTTTTTTAAACAGCTGACCACCCCAATTTGGAACAATGAATCTCATTAGTTGCAGAGGTCATTCTGGCACTCGCGCTCTCATTTCTGTTCTTATCTCACCAGTACTAATTAATGAAATTTTCTTTGTGTTGCTGGTCAAGTCTTATTTTTATTATTTTATTTTGAATATTTTAAAAAATTTTGGGAGTTCGCCGCGGACCGGCAGCTGCTAGTCCGCGGATCGGCACCGGTCTACGGACCACCACTTTGAAAAGCACTGGATTATGATATGTTAGTGTATATATCAAGTGATCGTTTATCAATATTAAGAACAGGTCAGATAATTTTAATACCAACATGAATCGTATCATGTACCTTAATGTTGAAACATCTAATAAGCAAAGTATGCAGAACAGATTGGTTGGTCGGATGAAACTAATTAACAACATATCAAAACAAAAGAAACGAACCTATCAATATAATCGACTGCCATGTACAATGTTGTTCTCTGTAGCTTGTAGTCATGACAAATTTCAATCAGTTTTTCGATCAATTTTGATCTCATCATTGGATGAATGTCTGGATTTTGAATGTAAAACTTATGATCTCTGAAATATGCGGACTCTGTCTCTTTCGAGATCATAGAAAACCACGTTTCAGAGGAATCTGTCCCTAGAAGTGAAGGTAGCGGGTTGTACAATCGTCTGAAGACTGGATGTCGAGCGGTAGATGGTGTGTTAGGAGGAAGGGGCCTGAATGTTTCTGGAGTCCTAACATCGCAGCGAACTTGCTGTTGGATGTTCATATTTGTCTGCGTAGGTGTTTTGCTTAAAACAAATGACCTAGGTCCCGTTTCTTCGGATTTTGTTTTTGAGACGTTTTCGCTGTTTCTTTTGTTTGGCTAGGGAAAAAATTAGTATTAGTTATATTGGTTCAGAACTTTAAAAAACTGTAACATTATAAAATTCTATCAAGTTAAATATGAAAAATAATTATCAATTAAATTTGAAAATGAACATATGACCAGAGAATGATATAACACAAAAAAGCACTATTACTAACAGTACTGACAACCGTGTCCAACTCAACAATCTTATAATCTCGCTCGTGATTCGGTGATTGTAGTGGCATTTTTCGTCTTCTCAAAATTCGAGCGTGACTCGTGCTGTGAGGAGGTACAAAATAAACACGACGATAAAATTTACTTGTCGATAGCAAAAGTCCAATATCGAATAATCACAGTTAAATATGATTTGCTGCTGGTAGCTAAACCAAGCTATGTCTATTATTAATGACAAACAACTACAATTAGTTCACTAATGTTAGAACAATATTGCAATAAATAACTTAATTATCGAAAATTTTTTACAAAATCACACACCTAGGAGTTGAATCTTGACTATGTGGTCCCACGTTGTTGCTTCTTACTTACTTATCACTGACCTGATATATTTTAAGGAAGAAGTTGTAAAAAAAAGAAATGAATATAGCAAAACCAAAAGTTTACAATGGCACAGTAATAAAAATTTCGTGTTTGCACAAAGATATGATTGTAGAACATGGTTTTAATCATATCAACGCAATGATTTTATTGATTATTTTAAATTTAAATACGTGAATGATGGTGGCTTGTTACCTGTGTTTTTTTTTAATTTAACTTAAGATCGATGAAATAAAATATATGAAATAAAATATATTTTATGACTTTCCATAAGTTCTGTTTACTTTGTTTCAGATATACGTTTCCTTTCCTCTTTCTAAATTAGCTAGCCTCCTAGCACGTGCATTGTTTTGCTAATAAATATTATTTTTCTAATTATTTCGGTCTTAACAAATTATATCTCAGCAGGTAATGAGCCCATATCTCTTAACAAAAATATGTAGGTGAATATATTATTATAACAAAGATTGCAATTCGTGATTTTCCAATTCACGTTGAAGTTGAAACAAGAACATCAATTTTTTGAAACATAAAAAATGGATTCGATTTTTTTTCCTGGAATCATCAAATTCGTTATACGAAGGTCCGACTGAACGTATATATATATATTTATATTATGTATAATTATTTATAAAGATCACTGCGTTTTCGGCATTATTCAACTTGTTGTTGAGTTTCTCAATTTTTTTAACGAGTCCCGTTATTCTCAATGAAAAATTGAGAAACTCAACTACAAGTTCTATTTATGATGGTCTAAACACAAAATATATTATGTATATTTCACACTTTGTTGATCACATGTTAACACGTGTTTTACAATCACATAAAACACTCACTTGTTAAAGTTAAAGCCACGTGCTAAAGATGATTAACACAACGTTTTAGAGTTTAAACATTGTGATAGAAGTGATTAAAATTACATGCTGAAGTTAAAACCACAGATTTTTTTTAAAAAATACAATAAAAAACAAATCAATTAAGTTAAAAAGTAAAAAAAAAAAACAAAGTAAAACAACAAACAGATAGAGAAAAAGAGATGGGTTTTTGGTATTTTTAAGTGGGCATGTATGAGTGATAACACTATTGATGATAATAATAAAAACTGTGTCATGGATGGGAACATTTGTAAGCAAGGATTCGACATCCAGAAAAGCAATAAGATTTGATGATTTGTTAGTGTTCAATAGATTGATAAATTCTCTGTAGCTTATTTAATAGAAATGACAGTCTTTCGATAAATATTGATAAAAAGCAAATCTTTTAAAAAATGTGTTGATCGTTATTTTATTCTTCAAACGTTTTATTTGCATAGTCTAGCTTATTCAAATTTGTATCTAGCTTACCAATTGTTTTGACGTTTTCTTCACAAGTTGCTTCCAAGAGGTCATAGTCGTAATTGAAATACATTTTGAACAAATTAATAAATTTACTGAGACAGTTTTAAAATAATTTATGCCTAAAGACCTTCAATAGCAATGAAATAATTAATATTTTAGCATCAACTTATAGTTAAACGACGAAAAAGCTGTTATACTAGTTAATACATTAGTGAATATAAATTTCAGACTCATCTGTTTCTTATGTTTAGGTTGTTAGAAGAGAATTAAGAGATATTGTTTAGAGTTGTTTAGCATAGTTACAAATTTAAATGTGTAATAAATAAAATCATTTATCTACTACTAGAGCCCCATGCGGATAACCACAATGCGGTTTCAAACCGCGCTTACCGCTCCGCAACCGTGGTTGCGAATAAAAAATTTTCAAAACTCCGCGGATTTTGCGGTTTGCCGCAAATGTGGATTCAAGTGCATTTTTAAAAAACCGCCTGCAAAATTACATTTTTAATTTTCAAAAAGTTTCAGAATATAAAAAATTTGGTTCTTTTGTTTGTTTGCATATATGCACGTGTTTGAGTATGTATGTATGTGTATTTAAGGACCATAGCTGAATCTCTCTGGAGTCCACGTTGGTAAAGCCAAGTAAGCAGCTTCTGCTAATTACTTCAGCACAGTTGAATAAAGAAAGTTAGTTTTAAGTTACACACGTCCATACATACACACACATATTGTATATGTAAATGTGTGTGCATGTGTGCATTACACAAAACGTGTGTGTGAAGGGATATGTTAGTATCACCCATAGACATCTTGATGTATCAGCCTCTCTAGACCCGGTGAAAATTATCAGTGAAATTTATATTTCGAAACGTTGCTCTTTTTTATTTAATAAAATTAAAAAATGAATCTTGGTAATATAATGTAGAATTTAAATATTAATTTTAAAAAAATTAGAAAAATACAAAATTTAAGTATAATTTAATGAAATTTACACACACACACCACACACACACACACACACACACACACACACACACACATATATATATATATATATATATATATATATATATATATATACATACACACAAAACTGCATGGTTTATTCATATATATATATATATATATATATATACACACACATTCATTTGAAATTTTTTTAAAACGGATATCGACAGACATGTAAGACAATAGTTTGAAATGAAGAAAATAAATAAACTTCCTCCTCCCTCGTCATCACCGTCATCATTATCAATTAATGCAACCAATATCTTCCTCGTTACCTCTATTGTCATCATCCACACCTAAATTTAACAAAGAAATTTTCGTAAAATTATTCTTTACAATTAGGAATTAAATAAATTTTGTTCATTAAATTTGAAATGAAAATTCTTCGTTGATTGCAATAGAAAAAAGATAAAAAATGTTTTTTAAAAAAATTTTTTTACATTAGACCTGTGCTGTGATTCGTCAAAAAATCGCATTTTTGTCACGTTTTCAATAAAATTTTTATATGAACTGCACCGAAAAGGACTTTTTTTTAAGATATTTGTGTCTTATCATGATATAGTTGCGTGTGCGAAGTTCGTGACTTTTAGTTGTTAACTGATACTGCGTTTGACAGAATTCGATCTAAAGAATAATAAAAAAAACAACATCTCTTTCACTCTGCACTGTTTCAAATCTATTAGACAGTGCAAAGTTGAAGCAAAAATTTTAAAATAATTCACCACGTTTAATCGTAGATATTCAAATAATTTTAACACGTTGTTGCCAGTCATGAGTCAGTCTGAATGTCAGCATTTGATGAAAGTGTTTTTTCTGCTCAGTGTCGTAGATTTGAGTTATGAGTTGCAGGAGATGGCAGTTGTGAGGTTCAGCTCGGCGTACAGTCACTCGGTTGTTAAGGGGCAGAAGGCAGCTGTTTGTTTCGCTGATGAAGTGTCTGTCGGCCTGAAAACATTCGGCAGGAGTCACGTGGATTGCGTCGTTAAATGCTTGGTTACTTCCATTCAGTTTTTTAATAGTTTTTTAATTTCAAATTAAAATTCCCTTTTTTTAATTTTAAAAAACTTAAACTTTAAAACTTAAAAAAACCAATGGGCTTTGAAAGAAACTGATAAAACCGTGAATAAAAATTTAAAAGTAACTAATAAGCAGTCTGATGTTCTCTTAATAAAATCACCATCTTGAAAATTTATAAAATATTTAAAAATTCTTTTTGTGATACATTCAGACAGTATTTGTGTGATTATTAACGTAGAATTTTATATGAATAATAATAATATGAACAGGGCAAATATTTGAAGCACTTATATCATTTCAAAACTGTTAATTTATTACCATATTATTACTATAGTATGTTATTCATGCCAACTTTTATAACATCCGGCAAATATTTAGAAGTATTGAATGTAATGATTAAAAATTTTTACAATCTTATCATTAGCAAATAATGTCAATATAAAAATCGTTAAAAATTATACCCATGCTTGTTTGGGTTAAAAAGGGCTAAAAGTGGCCAAATTCATTTTATTAAATCGACGCCTATGTTTATCAATGTTTTCAAATTCGAAGGCCATAACGAACAATAGCTTGAGAGGAGTGAACCACTTGACATCTGATGGATCATGTTCATGTATCCCCAAAACCAACATCCTTCACAATGTCTCAAAGGATTTGGTGCTGGCTGGTTGCAAAGGTCTTGTTATACAACACGGTGTGTATTGTTGATATAGGATTCTTATTGACAACGTTATGATAAGTTTTCAAATTTGTATAATTATAATAGAGAAAAGTAGTTAAACTTGAAATATTTCAACAAAACGCTATAACAGACTGCCCACCACATTTTGATTACGTGGTAGAATATCACAAGTGTTACAAAATGCAGTTCCAACTTTTAGATTGGCGAAGTTCTAGGTCCTTATGCAATAGTCTCTCATCATCTCATCCTATCATCATTGATGATGATGCTGAAAATTATGTTTCATGGAAATACGTTGCATCCATTCTTTCAAGTTTGTTCCTTATCCTAATACTTTTGGGTCATTCTCCGTCAACTTGAACGATTTAAAAAAAAGTCCACGCCCGACCATCTCCGATTTTTTTTAAATTTGAACAGTAAGTACCTCAATGTATTTCATCGACAAAATAAAATTTTTATAAAAAAATTTCAATTATTTTTCAAGTTATGAAGATTTTTGTGACAGCATCCTCAAATTTTTGAGCGATTTTTTTCAAAACTTGTACCTACGTAGAACGCTATATCTCTTGAACTAGCCAACATATCTTGATGAAATTTTTTGTGCATATCAGTGAAACAATGTAATAACAAAAAAAATAAATGTTATTGTCTCGAATCAAAGGATATTTTGAACAAAAAATCTAGAAAAAAATGAATTTTTTGAAAATTTCACCGATTTCAAAACAGCGTAGCTCAAAATCTATCGCAAAATAAATAAATATTTTTTGTTATTTTAGAAGTACCTTATAGTCACAAATAAATCACAAAATTTAGTTAAAATCTGTATTGAATTTTTTGAGCTATCGGAGCTCAAAATGTCAAAAAAATGAAAAACTTCTTTTGTTTGGCGCCATTTTTAACTATGAAGAACCAAACGTTTTTTAATTTTTAAAATTTGATTATATAGTGCTTTTATAGCTTAACAACATATCAAAAAATAAAATTGGCGTTTGCTTTCTTTGAAAAATAAAACAACTTCAAAAACAGGCAAAACAAATTTTTTTCAAGTGTCAATTTTTTTTTATTTTTTTCAATTCAAAATTATTATACAACGTGCTAATGTGTTTAAAAACAGTTTCAGGAAGAGTTATGTGAATTTTTCCAACATAAGAAATGTTATCATCAGGTATAACAATCAAAATATGTTTAAATGGTACATAGCAAATATCTACATTTTTAGGCCAATAAAAAATATTTTCTTTAAATTTCTTCAGACAGTTAACTTTTAAATCATCATTTTTATCATCTCTTTTTATAATGTTTACTAAATACCATTTCTTATTATAGACCAAAGGTACAAATCGACCCGGCTCATAATCATCATTGGTGTCTTCACTTTCATTTTTATTAAAATTGTATCCAAATAAATCTGAAGACAAACGTTTCATCAAAAGTTGATCATTTTTGTCTGGAATAAATGAGTGATGACTTCGACAACCCTTTATTTTATCTGCTGACCTAAATCTTTTTCAAGCATTCCTAGCAGATCTTTAATTTCTTTTTTGTCTACCCAAAAAAATTTAATACCATTTATTTTCGCATCAGCGTATGTGTAAAAATCTCTGGCGTTCAATATCTGATCTTGTTGATGCCTGCAAACTTGCTCTTGCAACCAATCTTTTTGTTGTCCCTCCAATTCCATCGCAAGGACTTTTACCATGAAAAGTTGCAAAAAAGTGCCATTCTGCTTTTAATCCAAAATCCTCTTTGTGATGAATTAAATTAGAAAAATTTTTGTATTGAATTACCGCACCATCAGAAAAATATTTAATTAAAGTAACGTTTTTCAGGTTTTGTTTTACATAGTTAATTAAATGTTTTTGAAAAGCATAAACAGCGGAAACATTGTGATCGAGACAGTCGCTAATCATGCAAACGCTTTTGACAGATAAGTTTTCATAAATAAATAAATAAGTTTTCTGTAATAAAGAACAATTGGGTGAAGAGTAACTTGCGTGTTGCTCCAATGTTGACTCTGGATTGCATCCTGTATTATCACCGAATAATTTTCAGCAAAATCCATTAAAGCAATACACTCCGAACTTTTTAAATTTTTTTAGAATCGCTAAGATATTTCAATTGTTCTTTGCTTATGTAATGATGCGATGACAACTCGTCAAGTTTTTGCGAAAATCTTTCAATGAAACTGTCAACTGTATCCTGTACGGAAATCAATGAACTGCGATTATCATCATGGGAAATTACAGCTTCTTTGAAAATCCTCTTAAGTTATTTTCGACACTCAGTTTTCCTGGGCATTCCTCACATCTGTGTAACATACATTCTAAATTTTAAATTGAAAAAAATAAAAAATATTGACACTTGAAAAAAATTTGTTTTGCCTGTTTTTGAAGTTGTTTTATTTTTCAAAGAAAGCAAACGCCAATTTTATTTTTTGATATGTTGTTAAGCTATAAAAGCACTATATAAACAAATTTTAAAAATTAAAAAACGTTTGGTTCTTCATAGTTAAAAATGGCGCCAAACAAAAGAAGTTTTTCATATTTTTGACCTTTTGAGCTCCGATAGCTCAAAAAATTCAATACAGATTTTAACGAAATTTTGTGATTTATTTGTGACTATAAGGTACTTCTAAAATAACAAAAAATATTTATTTATTTTGCGATAGATTTTGAGCTACGCTGTTTTGAAATCGGTGAAATTTTCAAAAAATTCATTTTTTTCTAGATTTTTTGTTCAAAATATCCTTTGATTCGAGACAATAACATTTATTTTTTTTGTTATTACATTGTTTCACTGATATGCACAAAAAATTTCATCAAGATATGTTGGCTAGTTCAAGAGATATAGCGTTCTACGTAGGTACAAGTTTTGAAAAAAATCGCTCAAAAATTTGAGGATGCTGTCACAAAAATCTTCATAACTTGAAAAATAATTGAAATTTTTTTATAAAAATTTTATTTTGTCGATGAAATACATTGAGGTACTTACTGTTCAAATTTAAAAAAAATCGGAGATGGTCGGGCGTGGACCATGGTTCAAGTTGACAGAGAATGACCCTTTTACAAATTTTAACTTTACCAAATCAAACAAAGTATATCCGTTTTTATTACTGCGATGTTTGTGTTACAGCTTGCCAGAAATGCCCTGATCCGTATTATTCGACGTGGTGTGCCTTCCACACCAGCGGCATTCGAACCTACATCAGTGGATCTAGAACGCCCTTCCTCTGGTACCCTTACCTAGGCAGGCTTGCTTCACTTTTCTTTATAATTTTCTCATTAATGTTTTTATGAGTGAAGTAGATAAAAATAATTGAAATTCCAAAAACAAAAAATAGTTTTTTTTATATATAAAAAGAATTTTTCATTCAATGTTTTAAAAAATTTTAACCAAAATTTTAGACAATTAAGTTAAATCTACTTAAAAAATGTAGCACTTGGATGATGAACAGTTTAATAATGAACAGGAGTGAACAAAACTGTTCAGAGCACAAAAGCCTGGGCTTCTGGTGAACCGAACTCACCATTTGATTATCTGGAATACTGCATTGAGAGTATCGTGAACATTGGCTGGAACGATCAATTCTGCACATCCCATATGTGCGTGCTCTGTGAAATTGATATTAACTGATTTACAAATTAGTGAAGATGATGACGGAGATGATGATGTCGAGAGTGATTGAAATTACTAAGATGATGATGATGAACGTGATATTATGATGACGACAAAGAAGGCAATGTTGATAGTGATGACGAAAGCAGAAATCTAAAAGAAAATGTTCAAAATAAAACTTTTCGTGATGATGAGTGATAAACAGTGGTACGAATATTGAAACTGAGTGATTGGTGGATAAAAGTGGTGAAAGATGGCAATAGTTGAGTATATCAAAATGACAATAAAGGGATTTTGGCTTGGCCAAAATCGATGAGGCGATGAGGAATGTTAGACAGATCCTGTTGATGAAATACTTGAATACTGGAATACTTTTTTTCTAATAATCGTAAATTGACAACAAATTTTTAAAGTCTGAACACATCCTAGATAAGATTTTATAATTTAAATAACTTTGTTCTGGTTCTTGACATCAATTGTCATTCAGTTTGATATTTTTTCGTAACAATATTGTTTCTTAAAATATTTTAAAAATTGCGCTCACAATTGTTTGACATTATCTTTAACATTTAAACATTCTATTTTATCATATCAAATCAAAGAAAACAGAATCAATTAAATTAAATTATCTGGAAACCAAAAAAAATTGTTCTTGTAACAGTCATCAGCTACTTATTTAAAAACAACCTATTCATATAGCATCTAAAAACTTTAGCAACCGAACTGTTTTTAATGAATAAACAAGAAATATATATTAATAATTATTAACAGTTAACAATCTTTCATAATGAAACAACATTTTTTAGAGGTATTCATTACCAGTAAAAATGTTACGTGTAAAATAGTTTTCAAAAATTGATGCATAAAAAAACATAGAGGAGGAGAAAAAAAACCCTGGTGAGTTTCCCTTGTCTTACTTGGAATTTTTCAGACTTTTAAAAAAATAGAAAAGTTTGTCTGACGAGCACAGAAAAATATATAAGAAAGGATTCTGTAAGATACCAAAAAGAGATGGTCATCTATTGATGGCGACAACAAAAGAAAACGAAAAACGAAAGATCCAAACGCACAAAAGAAGGCAACGTCTGTGTTTTTCTTTTTTTACAAATGAAGATCGTCTAAAAGTTTAAGCATAGTTTCCAGCTATGCCCTTCAGGGAAGTTGCCAAGGAATTAGGGAGAAGATGGTTGGCGTGCGAAAACAAAGAAAAATATCAAATCATGGTGGCCAATGACAAAAAACACGAAAGGGAGAAAGAATTATACAATGGTGGATCAGCTGCATCAGCCTCGACAACTGCAGCTGTTTACATTCACAGACGATAAGTGAAAGATAAAACAGTTGGAAAGAAATATGAACAGCCGTTCCTTTCAACTCCGATTGTATGATTATATGCACACCTGACGTTATCCGTGTTTTGTGCTTCATTAATTAGGTTTCGTCAAAAAGTCTTTTCAATTTAATCGTTAATTATTTTTGCTAATTATATTCTTTTTATGATAATAATAGAGATTTGTTTTTGTAAGAATTTCACAAGGGGCCATTCAATAATTATGTCACGCTTGGGGGATGGGAAGGGGTTCGTCCAGCGTGACAGTGTGTAACAGGGAGGAAGGGAGAGGTTAACCTGACGCGTAAGTAAGCATAGTGTCTGTATTGTATTGTTATAACTTAACATTAAACATTTTTGATAATTCTATAATCTATGTTTTAAATTTAATTTATTATTACTCTTTCTTTGCTTCACTTTTAACTTACTTTCCTTTTCGCTTTTTTCCGTTCAAATTTGATGGTTACTGTTACTTTTGTTCAATTTAATAAAGTTGTTTTATCGCATTAAATTGACCAATTTATAATTCGACAACAAAGGAAAAAGATTAATAAATCAAACATAGATCAACAGTATAAACAAATAAACGAAATGGTTGATAAATGAAAGTTATATTTTGATTTGTATTGTATGAATGAGGCATTCAAGTTGGCTCATCCATATAAAAGTGCACAGTCTCTGCAGTCTGATACAAATGCGTTTTGTTGTAGTGTGAAAGGTAAAGATGATGTGACTGACTTAGTTCAGAAGAAATTGTGTGAATTAGGCAATGTGGAGCAGAAGAATGCTGCCAACCTGCTGTCATTTTGGTCAAAGCAAAGGTAAGTTATAGGTGCAAGGATGCATTTTAAAATGTCTTTTAAGCTTTAAAAGTTATGGTGAGGATGAACTAAATTTATCAGCTTAATTTTTACTGATATTTAATCTAGTGTTGCAATATCTGTTCAATATTTTTTTTGTTGCATGTGCAAAAATCTCTGAAACAGAAGCTAGAAAAAAAATCTGAATGTTTCAATAATGTAGACATATTTATTCTATCTCAATTTACAACTTTCTGACGTTTACTGTTCAACTTTAATACTAAGCAACAGAAAATAAAACACAATTTCTTTGTGTACTGGATTGAATGTAGTTGGTTACAATGGGGTAACGTCTGGCGACAGTGTAAACCGAACAGGTGAATTAGCCATTTACATGAACTGTGAATCATTTAGAACATTGTACTTAGGTGATGATGTTATATATAGTATATTAATAATAGAGTACATGTTGTGAATGGGGTGGGGGTGGATGGGTGGATCATAATTATTGAGAGTTCAGCTGAGTGTGACCGGATGTAACAGGGAGGGGTTAAAAAATGGAATAAAAAGTGTGACAATTATTGAATGACACATAACTGTTAGGTAAGATTTTTATTTTTAATAAAAAAGAACCTGTGCAAATTGATTGTAAAACAATTATTGAACTTTCATTTAGCCATAGTCATATATTATTAAATTTATTTAAAATGAATTTAAAAATATATTTAAAATCAATAATAAAGACATTATGATAAAGAATCTGATAAAAAAAATTAAAAAATAATAAACTTCGAAATTTCAACCAACCATAACATAATTTACCGAACACCATTTTTATAAAAGGATCTATCAAACATTAAAAAATATGTTGTTATCTACCAAACAAATCTTTTTCGAGATATGGATGCTTTACCTCATATGTTATAATTATCCAACTTCATTTGTTTGAAGAAATAAAAAACCAAAAAAAAACGGAAAGATGCAAACATTCAAGTTGCATTCAAGTAAACCCGTAACAAAACAAATATTGATTCAGAAGCTATGTTTTTTATTTTAACTTAATCAACAAGCATCAGACAAATTTAATTTTCTTCTTAACAGCTTTTATGTTATTTCACGTGACGAGTTCCAGGTACGTTGAGCAATGCACCACCTCGATGATTGTAGCATTGTATATGCGCGGATCGTATCTGTTGGTAGATAGTTATAAAAAGGCAAGTAACCTTTGCTACATGTCATATGGTGAGTTGGTCCAAATTAGGAGCCAGCAGCAACAAAAGATTTGTTTTTTAAATGTGTGTTGTTATTATAGATACAAACAGACTACCAGAAATTGTACTCGATAAATTTTGTTTGTTACAATGGAAAAAACTGTAAATAAAAACTATTAAAATGGCGTTCATACTAAAAATTTTGAATAAAACAAGTAAAAAAATAAAAAAGAGTGAGATTCCAGGCAACTGTTTTTTCATCTATAAAAAATCATCATTTTCATCTTCTATCTGAGGTTTGCTTTTCTTGGCTGGGGGCTTGTTAACGTTTGTGGCTTTCTTAGGAAATGTTGGCCCTTTTTTGTTGTCATCATTATCAACTTCTGTCTGAGCTTTGCGTTTCTTGACTAGAGACATGACGTCAACTATTATGATCTTCTTCGAAACTGCTGACTTTTTACTTGGTACGAATGCAAATGCACCCATTGACTCGTATTTCCCTAATCCACCAGCAGATAAAGCTTTTTCCTTCTCATATCTCTCTTTGTCTTTTAATGCCATGTTATGATACAGTTCCATTTTGTCGTACACTTTCCATCTTTTGCCTAATTCCTTGGAAACATCTCCAACCGACATTTTGGGAAACTCTGTTTTAACTTTCAATTGTCTTCATTGGAAAAACAGAAGAATGCAGACAACGCCCTTTTTGGTGCATTGGGATATTTTGTTTTTCTTTTTTTTTCACAATCGGATTGTAGAAATTTGGCCATCTCTTCTTTGTGCCTCTCAGAATCTTTCGCTGCCATTTCCTGATATTTTTTCTTGTCTTCGCCAGACAAATTTTTCCATTTTTCTACAGTTTGAGTTGTTTATTACCAGCTAACAAGTAAACAACTTTTACAAATTTATTAGTGAGATTTATTTTTTTTAAAACTTACTTTCGGTTTCTCTTTTCTCGTGATTGCTTCTTGGCATGTTATTGCATATAACATTGCATATAATATTGCATATTGTAAAGTTTGAAATTTTAATTTCAGCCTCTAATAATTTGAGTGCCAAAAACTCCATTAAACAAGTTCTTCAAATATTCGACAGCACTTAAACATCAATCGATTTAAAAGTATTTCTTTTTTATTTTATTTAGATATTTAGTATTGGCAACGAAATGTTAGTTTTTGAATACTTTACTACTTGTTTTATTATAACGAACGTTGATGAAATAAACTACGTTGAAGTAGAATATGGTCTGGTTGGTAATTTTTGAATGTGGGAGAAATCACCGAGGTTCACATAAAATGGCCAATTCCGGAAGTCGATGGAATAATATTAAATTCATTCGATAAAATCCTTCCGAAATCACACAATCATTTCTGCTAATTTCAACATCAATCCGTTTAACATTATCCAAAATCCGTCTCTCAGAACTGCATCCAACGATACCCACTCCCAAAAATTGTAACCTGGATTATGGAAAATATTATTGAAAAGTAATTTTGTTATTTTCACTTAGTTGAATGCCTAATATTTTGTTTTTTGAAAATTTTTCTGAACGACTTCAAAGTTCTGAGTATGCACGAATTGTTACTGAATTGGTCGGAACCAGCGAGTCCTTCGTGATAGAAATATACTATTTTCTTTATGATGAAGTTGTTCTGTGGCATGTTGTAGGGTGGATTGTATTTTGTTTTTATGAACTGACAAAATGAAAATTTATATTCATATTCAACAGTTTTAAATAAAATGTTTTTTGATAAAAAACTTCATATTTTTGAAGGAAAAAGATGTATTTATATTTTTTGATTTAAAACCTGACAATCAAATCTTATGAAATTTCAAAATTTGAACACAACTTTGGTATCTCAAAATTTTTCGTGTGCATATTAATTTGTCAAATAACATTTGTATTTAAAGTTAGTGTGTTTAAAATTTCATTAAAATTTCAAAAAATTAAATTAATGTATGACGAAATAGGCTTAACTCAGACTTTTGTATTTTGCATTTTTTTCAGCTGAAAAAACAAAAATAAACATCTCACCTTTGGCCAAATGATCATACCAAACATCCAATTTTTCCAACAATATCATTATTTGAAAAAATAAAATATTCGCTTATCATTCAAATGTTAAGTTCAGAATCTCTTATTATATAGAAATTTTAATTATAAATAGTAAACAACTTAAACATTGAATTATGAAAAAAGCAGTAATAAATATGATATTAATCGAGTGAAACACAAATTAGATGTATGTTAGGTTATTCAATTTCGTCAAGCATTTCAGAAAAATCTCAAATTTGATCACATGAGAACAGTATGTAAAATTAACTTCATTAGAAAAATAAAATTTTATGTAACAAATTATCATCAGTGCTCGTTTTATATTTAGACAATGAAGTCTGATGTTGCATGCATCAGTCTGATTTTTTCAAGTTTACTGAAATCAAACAAAAAGAAGGTGAACATTTTTCTAATAGGTATTAACAGCGTAATGTACAGCCACGTAAAACACAGGTAGTGTTAATGTAATGTACAAATATTCAACAATTTATAAACCGAAGAATAGCCAAGGCAGGGCTGAACAGGCATGTGCTGCGCATCAACACAAACACACACACGTCCCATCCTCCACCAACCAGGCTGCCTATCCTTGTTGACCTCTTGCACTTGGTGTTCGTTTCACTTACAAATCTGAAAATTTGTGAAGCTTTCATACATTTAACATTTATGAGCAATTGTTGGATTTACATAGCAAATTTAATTTAAATTTAGTATTCCATTTTTAATGTTAATACATACTTGTTGTAAAAAAGTTTCTAAGTTGGTGCCGTTTAAACGAAAAGATTTTTTTTAGGGGCAAACTTTTTTATCTGTCGGGTGAATCAGGAACAAGAGGTAAAACAATGCAGAGGACAGTGAGCAGGCTTTTACAACTTTCCTGGCTTCATTTCTACATTTCAGTGGCTAAGCTAACAAAAGATGAAGTTGGATAAAAATACTGCCGAAATCGCAAACGGTTTTATTAGAAATAAGGTCGTTGAAAAAAAGTCAGTGTGTTGTTTATTTTAAGGAATAATTCGAAATTTTTTAATGTTTATTATGATGATTTTATCTGTTTGTTCATATCTTGAATATTGGTAAACGTATTTAAAATATGAAATATTGCATCATTTGGGAGCATTTCAATTTATTTCTATGCCCTTAAAAGATTTTTTATTATCCACTTTTTACAATGTTTCTTTGACATTTTGTAGTTGTTCATTTAAATTGTGTTAATTCATTATTTCTTTACCTCATCGATTCCAATTTTCATTTTTCAAAGCAGTTCTTGTAGTTTCTATGTGATTTAAAAAAATTTAGAATGTAGATTAGGCTAACTACTACAGAACTTATTATTAACTTACCGAGCAATAAATTGTAAAACTAGCCAATTCTTTGTCATGAATTTACAATTAGCTTTAATTTAAAAAAAATTAAAATTAATTAAAATTAAACAAAAGAAACTCAAACATTTGACAAAGTTAATTAGCTCATAAAAATTAAACATAGACAGAATAAAGCATGTCGTAAAAAGATTTTCAGTTCATTGTTAGTAAGCACAGCCTTACAAAAACTGGTACTATATATATTGGCGCAATCGTACTTCAAGTTGTATTTCGGCATTCAATTTAATCTATCTATCTGGTTGGTAATTTTTTTGCAATTTAATCGCTTTCAAATCTTTATTAAACAGTCAGAGAATATGGGTAAAATTTTGAGAAACTCAGAAAAACCATTAGGTAGGACATCGGCTTTCACATTTTTTCTGAAAACCACTAAGGAAGAAAGAATGCAAAATCCTGGTGAATCACTGTCTTCAACGGAGTTTTTCAAACAGGCTTGTGAAATGTGGAAGAATTTTTCGAATGAGGACAAGAAGAAATATGAAGAAATGGAAGCCCAAGATTTTGTGAGATACCAGGAGGAGATGGCCAACTATGTACCTACCGGCGGTGAGAAAAGAAAAAGAAATAAAAAAGATTCGAACGCACCAAAAGCAGCGGTGTCTGCATATGCATATTTTTCGTTGGAACAACGCCCAAAAATTATAGCTGAGTTTCCAGCTATGCCCGTCAAGCAAGTTACTAAGGAACTGGGCAAGAGATGGAAGTTGTGCAAAAAGAAAACCAGGTATCAAACCATGGCTACCAAAGACAAAGAAAGATACGAATCTGAAAAAGCATCATACATTTATGCGTTTGTTTCGATGGTTCCATCTGATGATTTTTCACATAAAGAGCCAGCAGCTTCGAAAAATTCAACGAAAGCGAAATTTAAGCCTCTTTCCAAGAAGCGCAAGGTTGAGATAGAGCAGTATAATGATGAGATACACAAGGAGGATGATGAAGATGATGCGGAATAGTGATTGATCTTATGAATTTTTTTTAATTAAAAAAACTGAAACCATATCTTATTTCATGTATGTTATGTCCGATAATAAAAATCGTAAATCAAGGCATCATAAAATTTTGCATGTATAGGTTGGGGGATTTCTTTACATTTGAAACTGGATATGGCATCGACAATGCCAAGCTTCTTATCCATTACACAACCGCGCCACCACGTTAGTTAACACACAATAGAACGTTTGTAGTGATTTCTTCTCAAATATTTTTTTGTTTTAACGTTGGAGATTTTAATTTAAGGCTTAATAATTATGCTAAATATCCTTGAATAAAAAGAAATAAGTGGGTGTAATACGATTTTATAAAATTAGCAACAAATAATAATTTTTTTTTCAAAATACGTGTTTCAATTAAATTAATTAAAGCATCATAAATAATAATAGTTACGATGACGATCACGAGTTGCATTTAACATCTGTATCGTATAAAATGTTGATCAAATTGTAAATCAATTTTTTCTGTTTTCCCGACTAAACTATAGTCGTCAACTGAATAAAGATAAGCTCATCGATACATCAGCATTTTAATATTCTTCAAATTCACTTGCATCCACAATTCTTTGTTTTAACTTCAAACCTAGAAAGTTTCGAAATATGTGGTAATACATTTAATTTGTCGTCAAAGATTACACGTAGAAATTTTATTTCGTTTTCAAATTGAATCTGCAAGTCTGTAAATTTTAATAAGGAGTATACAATTTTACGCTTCTTAAAAAAAAAGATGATTTGGTTTTTAAACTTGAATAGATATCTGAATAAACATAGACACAAACACATGTATATACAAATATATATATAAACAATTGATGAATATATACATAAAAATGTATATATATATATATATATACACATATATTTCTAAATATATATATTTATATACTTGTATATATAAAGTTAAATATATATATAAATCTTTATATGTATGTATATAAATTGTCCAATCAACTAACTGAATTGTTGAATCAATGGGATCACTGTGATGTTGATTGCAGTGTCAAGAATGAACTAAGCCTATGCCGGAAAGAATTTATAAATGCATATATGCAGCGTGAATTCGGAAAATAAGTTCATTTTGAATTTTAATAAACTAAACGTTCACCAAAAGTGAGAAAAATCGAAAAAACGAATTACAAACATATTAACGCCAAACATTCGGTAGAATTTATAGAATATTGTAAAATTATGGTCTATTACCAACAAATCTTTATATATATATATATATATATATATATATATATATATATATATATATATATATATATATATATATCTAAATATATATTCAATGGAAGTTTATTGTACAGCTTCTGAGTAGTCTTTCTTTTATTAAATTTCTTTAAATGTAAAACATTTAATTTTAAGCCTGGCAGTTTCGAATAAATCGTGGAGGTGATGTGTGCAGGTTTGCATATGACGTTCTCCCAGTGGGCAGAAGTCATTTGGACGACATCATGATCAGGGAAGATGGTCGGGTTTTACACTTTTGGACTTAATTCTCAACCGTGTTCCATCATGCTTCTAATTACAATTTTTTAAAGCAGGTTTGCCTCTTTTGCTTATGTATTCACGTTTAGTTTTAATAATGCGTCTACTTTTTACCAAACCTTCCATTGAAGGACAGCTGTAATTGAACATGTTATAGTTTAGTTTAGGTTTAATCGTTACTGCTGAATGCATCACCCTAGTTTCATGCTACATCCATTAATTTATCGGGTGTTCGCCTAGATCATTTCCTCTTGACTAAAACAAATAATTAAATTTTGACTCGTCGCATTGATGCATCGAGTAGTTCTATCTGAGGTGTAAATGAACCCGGGATTGATTATTTTTTAATAGGTTTAACAAATACGGCTGCAATAAAGAAGTAATGATAATGATAGAACAATGAAACTCAAACAACTAATAAAATTCATCCAACCACACACACACATATTATCGCTTGATGTGACTATGTAACTTCTACTTTTGATAATAAATGCAAACTAATTCACTAACTCGCTCGCTCACTCACTCACCCACTCACTCACTATTTGTAGAATTCGCCGAGGAGCGCAAATGAACATCGCGAAAATATTATTATTGGCATTCCTAAGAGGATAGTACTGTGATTAAATGCTTCGTTGAACTAATAACTTTCTAACTCTCTTTTGAAATCTTTTTCTAGAACAATTTGCTTCAATCTTGTTGGAAGATCATTCCATACCTTGGACAGAGCAACCTGCACACGTCTGTCGCCCAGTTTTGTCCTGGTCCTAGAAATTACCATCATTTCTGACGAAACCAAACGCAATGCATGTCCCACATCAACTTCAGTTTTTTTGCGAAAAACCTCCTTTAGATATTCTGGGCCACCACCATGTACGCAACCATGAGCCACCACAGCCATCTTAAATCCTATCCGTTCCCTGATCGGCAGCCAGTGGAGACTTTCCAACCACTTTTTAATGTGATCACGTCTACTTAGACCAATGACCAATCTGGCGGCAGCATTCTGGATTCGTTAAACTTTATTTATAACTTCTACACTACCACCATACAGCAAAAAATTGCAATGGTCTAATCTAGACAGTACAAACGTCACCACCAGGCTAGTAAAAATATCAACTGGAAGACATTTCTTGACCAGATACAATCTTCGTAGCTGAAGAAAGCAGATAGCATTGAGTTTCGCGACCTGAGGCAACATCGTCAAAGCACTGTCAAACATCATCCCCAAGTTTTTGACCATGTCAGCCGAGATCAACCTGTTACCCAATATATGGTAAGTCATATCTCCTAGTGCAGATATAGCCTTCTTAGAACCAAACCATATCAACTCCGTCTTGTCTGGGTTAAGCTTCAAATGAATCAGTTTTAATCAATTGATTTTAAGTTGAGTTTAACTGTTTAACGTTGTTGTTAGAATGTATAGTTGGTTTCGTACGGCACCAGGTGTTTATTAATGAATTTAAAGTCTTTTGAACAATATGGGCATTTTGTTGCTTTTGTTAAACTAAACATATTAAAAATTAAAATACTTAAAATTGAGAATTTTAAACTAAATTTTATCGAGCAAAACATTAACAGAACAATTTTTTGATATATAAAATTCCAAATTTGTGCTTTAAAATTTTATTAAAACACGATTATTAACTAAAAACTGGAAGCCGTGTAAAAATCAACTTTCTTGTCCGTTGTTGCATAATAATAATAACAATAACAATAATATTAATGCTAATAATGGCCTGTCCATAAAGGATGTCACGCCTTTTTAACGATTTTTTGACCCCCCCCTTTCCCCGTTTCACAAACTGTAACAACAAATCTACCTACCCCCTAAAAATAAGCATGTGACAAAACTTTACTCCCCCCCGCCCCTCTTAGTGAAGAGTCATTAAACAATGTAATTGCTCTATGCGTTTTATTTTTTATTGATATCAAAATAACGAATGACAAGTTTATATGAAATGTAATGTATCTAAATGCTTTACTGTAGTTAAAATCTAACGAATTATTATTAACTTCTACACCTACCCATCGGTAAACTTTAACGATGGCATTTAAATTTGTTATTCACTTATGCGCATGAAAAAAAATTATTTTTTCTTTCGTTTATTTAAAAAATGGACGTCAAACTTGCGTTAATCCCCCCTTCATCACAGTGTCACAAATATTTGAACCCCTTCCCCCGGTAAACTTTAACGATGGAATTTAAATATGACTCCCCCTTTAATTAATATTCATGAGCTTGCTTGATAACTTTAATATTTATTTATGCGCATATATATGGAAAAATGTATTTATTGTTTTGTTTATTTAAAAAAGGACGTCACATTTGCATTAACCTCTCCTTCCCCTTCGTCACAAAATGTCACAAATATTTGGATCCCCCCCTTGATGCGTGACATCCTGACCTTTATGGACGGTTTCGTCTCTACCGGAGACTCATCAGCAGCCCGATTACCTATCAGAATAGTTTCGCAGTTTTCCCCTTTATATAGCTCCCACGAATCACTTCGTTAGTTTGTGGTGTTTCATTTATTATAGATGATTGCTAGTTTTAGTCGTTAACTGTATTCGCATTCTGAACCCTCAATTAATTTCATCAAAGGATTGGAAATTAATGGGGAGGCTGGATCACCCTGAAAGTATAACTGGGATCGATGGAGTAACGTAGCCGCTTCCTGAAACTGATACTGTGCAGTCCAATTAAATTTGCGATGGAATGTGATGGTAATCAAGTGTGAAGGAGATGAACTTGTTGCTGACTTCACGGAATGCGTTGCGGAGGCCTAACAAAGTGACAATAATGGTGCGTTGATGTCTCTTTGCGTCCTTGATCATTTGAGTCAGGAGTTGGGAGTGCTCGATTAAGCCGTCAACGTTTGGGAAGAAACCTTTTTGTATACTTTTGTTTATAAATGAGTTGATTTCGAGAAAATTAAGAATCTATGTTGATGAGTTATGAAAATATTTTATAAAATGTGGGTTGTAAAGTGATCAGACGGAAATTTGCTGAATTGTTGGCTTCTTCTTTTTTATGTATTAAAATAGTAAATCCTTTATTCCAACATAATGGAATTGTCGAAGTTGGTTAACATCGCGATAGTATTTGGTGATGGTTGGTGAATAATAATAATAATAATAATTATTATTATAAAAAAAACAATAATAAAAATAATAAAGTTTTACAACATTATAGAAGAAATAAAAATAATAAATTTTACAACATGATAGGAGTAATAAAAATGAAAAAGTTTTACAACACAACCATTTAATGAACCAGTTACAACATATCGATAGGAAACCCGTAAGAAGGCGCAAATATGACACAATGGATGGTTCGTTGTTAGAAGGCAAAGTAAAAACTCAAGTAACTGCATAAAAAGTCTCAAAAAAGAAACAAAGCCTTTCCTGGTTCATTGTTAGAAAATACACAGGAAACATTGAGTCGAATGCTACTATACATTGGCTCATTGATGCAGCAATGCTTCACAAATCTATCAAAGTTACATTGATCTGCTTTTAATTTTTTTGAATTTTAATTGAAATATTTACAATTTTCATTCAATATGCAAACGATATGGATAGAGTTGGAAAAGATTTAAAAAAACCAAAAGACAAAATGTCGGCTTATGCATTCTTTATGCAGGCCACAAGAGAGGAGCAGAAGAAAAATTCCGGGGAGTCCCGGTCATTTTTGGATTTTTCCAAGAAGGCTTCTGAAAGGTGGAAAAATTTGTCTGTCGAAGACAGGAAAACATATAAGGAAATGGCAGCCAATGATTCAGTTAGATACAAAAAAGAAATGGCCAACTACGTATCACTGATGGCAACAACAAAAGAAAACGAAAAACCAAAGATCTCAACGCACCAAAAAAGGCACTGTCTGCATTTATCTGTTTTTCAAATGAAGAACGTCAAAAAATTTAAACTGATTTTCTAGCTATGACCTTCAGGAAAGTTGCCAAGGAATTAGGCAGAAGATGGGAAGTGTGCGAATGCAAAGAAAAATATCAAAGCATGGCGGCCAAAGATAAAGAAAGATACGAAAGGAAGAAAAAATTATACAACGGTGGATCAGCTGCATCAGCCGCGACAACGGCAGCTGCTAAAAGACCAGCTGCTCCTGAGAAGGCAGCAAAAAATAAGGAGAAACATCCTGCCAAGAAGCGTAAAATTGATATCGAGACTGACAATGAGGATAATGATGAAACAGATGAGAAGGACAGCGATGAGGGGGAGGAGGAGGAAGACAGTGATTGATTGCGGAATTCTTTTTCCCCACATCAATTTTTAATATTAGGTTTAGAGTATTAAACTTTTTCACCAGTTGATTTTTATTACATGCTCATATGTATTTAAACTATTGTATAATGTTACATTTATTTCATAACGTGATTAGTTTATCAAACGTTAATCTAATGCCAACAAAAACTTGCTTGAAACCAAATTTCAATCTAAATTATTTATTTACATGGACAACTCGTAAACGTACATGTTTGTGTTAGTTCATTGCGACACGTTTTTTTAAATTAGTAGAGTTGAGTGATGTTAGGAAAGAATAAGTAAGAGTTGTAACAATGTAATAGAAATGTAATTGCGACAAAATTTATTTTATTCGAAACTTTAATTTCAAAATAACTTTTGAAGAAATGGTTCCACAAAACATTTGATTTTTTATTTATTAAAGCGTTGATCAATAATTCCTGTGAATGTTTTTATTTTGTTATAAAAGTATTTCTTTTATGATTGGTAACATTTTAAAATTCTTTGAAGAACATTTATATATTGGAACGCACGTCATTCCAAAAATTTCTCTGCATTTCAACAGTCATGTCAAAAAGTTGTGTCAAGTAAAATATTTAAAGTCTTTCATTAATAAAAGCTAATAATTATACCAAAAATAAAAAGCAAAGCAACTACAATGTTAGTAACAATGTTGGACAAAAGTTATACAGGTTGGCATTTGAGATTTATAACTTTCTTTTTGTTTGTGTTTTGTTCTGGTGAATAAAAAGTATGTATTTTGATTTGATATATATATATATATATATATTGAATTGTTATATATATGTATATATATATTTATTCAATATATTCGACTGTATCCAGGTAAACATGTCTCCTAAATGTGCGAAGTGTTTAGGCAGTACAAATGTTAAAGATAAGGATAGTGTATTACGTTGCAGTCGTTGTGATACTGTCGTACATGTAAAGTGTATTTCTACTAATGATAGTTTACTTGATGCTTTGAAAAACTGCAGTGGTCTGAAATGGTTCTGTGATGGTTGTGTGAAGCTTCCGTTCAACTTAGATTCACTCTCAAAATTAGTTGATGCTAGTAGACAAGATATATTGGATAAAATTGAGAGTAACAAAAATGAAATGATAACAAGACTTGAGAAACTGGATGAAGTCAACACTCAGGTTTGATCAGAAATAGTTTAAAAATGTTGATAACTTCGAACGAAAATAAATTAGTTGATATTGATCGCACAGATACTTCAATTCGTCATGACATCAAGAGTTTAAAGCAAGAAATGAGTACTACTTTCGCCAGCATTGTCAGTAAAGAAGTTAAAAAAAACTGAAATAATTAACAATGAAGTTAGAACGGTTCAGAAAGTGTTGATTGAAGTGAATGAGATGAAAAACAGAGAGTCAAACCTGATGGTTTTTCGCTTAGTTGAGAGCGACAATGATCGCACTGATGTTATGAAGATATTGCAACATTTGGTTGAAGACATTTCAGAGAAGGATGTTCTAAGAACTACCAGGCTAGGTAAAAAAAGTGTTGACGTAGTCAGACCATTGTTGATAAAGCTGAAAAATGCAAAGATTAAGAATTCAACAATGAGAAATGTTTACAAGATGAAAACAATAGCTGATAAATTTGCCGGTGTTGGACTAAGTGATGATTTGACAAAGGAACAGAGGCAGGAGTATAAAACGTTTGTTGAAAAAGCTAAATCAATGCAATCTGATAATAAAGAGAATTTTTTATACCGTGTCAGAAGACCAGTTGGAAGATGGAAGATAATACAGTTTCAAAAAAATTCACTTAAACAATTGTCTCAGTAAAAATAAAGTAATTAAAGATTTGGCTACAGATGTAACAAAAAATAAGTGCAACATCTTGCTTGGCCTACTTAATATAAGATCTGTCAACTCAAAGTCTGATTTTATTTATGAATTAATTCAAGAGGGTTTGGACATCTTTGTTTTAGTGGAAACATGGCATGGTTCAACAGACAATATTTCAGTAAAATCATCTATACCATCAGGATATTGTTATGTTAATTTTCTTAGATTAAATGATCCGCGGCATGGAGGAATAATTGTAGTTTTTAGATCAAACTTTAAATATAAATTAATTGAACTACCTGTTCTAACAACGTTCGAGGCTGTAGCTATTAAAATGATCGTAAATAATAAAGACTTTATTTTATTGGCGTTATACCGACCTGGTTCGGCTCAAGTCAGTTCTACATTTTTCGATGAACTCATATGTATTTTGGAAAATATTACAATTTTAAGTTTGAATGTTATGTTAGTTGGTGATTTTAACATACACGTTGAAATAAACAAAGATCGACATACCGTTAATCTGATTGAAGTGTTTGAAATGTTCCAATTAACAAATTACATCAATGAGTCAACACATGTTCTCGGTGGTACACTTGATTTGGTAGTTACTTCACACAATTTTGAAATTACAAATATCAGGTTATTCCCTTGTGGAGTTTACTCAGATCATAGCTTGATACATGTTGACATACCGATAACTCGAGCGTGTAATAACAAAACTTCAAGATTGGCTAGGTCATGGAAACGTATTGATGAAAATATACTGACCATGCTTGTTATGAATTCACCAGTGCATGAGCCTTGTCGAAGTCGAGATGTGAATCGTGAATTTGATGTTTTAAATAACGAAATGAGGAAGATTGCTGACAAAATTGCGCCTCTCCGGTTTATCGAGCATAGAAGTGATCTTATGGCTCCGTGGTTTGATGATAAGTGTAGAGCAGCTAAAAGATACTGTTGAAGTAAAGAAAGGAAATACAGATGTTGTTTGTCATCAGTGAGTCGAAATGAATGGATCGCTTCTTTGAAAAATAAAACCAAACTCTTTTCAATAAAAAGAAATGATTACTGATTGCTGATAGTAATGGTGATTCAAAGGGTCTATGGAACGTAGTAAACAAAATTCTTTGTAAAGATAACCATAGCTTACTTTATGATAATGTTGACATCACGGCTTCTCAATTTATGGGTTTTTTCAAGAAAAGACCGATTGGATCAAGCATACTACTAGTATTAACGAAAAACCTACTTTTGACAGAAGTAGGCTTACCGAAAATTGTCTGCTCACAAATTTTGCTGTCGTTGAGGAACTAGACATAAAGAAAATTGTGCTTGATCTACCGGCTAAAACCTGTATGTTAGATGTTTTTCCGACTCATGTGCTTAAAAAACATATAGATATTTTTATTGCTTTTCTCGCAAGCCTCGTTAACTTATGTTTGCAAGAGGGAGTATTTCCGGATAAATGTAAGCACGCAGTTATTACACCTGTGTTGAAGAAAATGAAAGATGATAGAAATGAAATGAAAAGTTACAGACCCATATCAAACATTAGCTTCGTTTCTAAAGTTATTGAACGAGTTGTTGCTAGTCAGCTACTGAGTCATCTACGCCAAAATAGCTTAATACCAGTATTTCAATCTGGATATAAACGTTATCACTCAACTTAAACAGCACTGCTGTATGTTATGTCTGAGTTGTTTAATGCAATTGATAAACAATATGTTTCGTTGCTTACATTCTTGGACATGAGTGCTGCCTTTGATTGCGTAGACCATCAAATACTGATGAATCGCCTACAATATAATTACGGAGTTACTGGAGTTGTAGATAATTGGTTCAATTCGTACTTGTTTGGCAGAACTCAGCAGGTTTTTTTCGGGAACAAATTATCTGGTATTGAAGCATTGTCATCTGGTGTACCACAAGGCTCAGTCCTAGGACCTATTCTGTTTGTACTGTACACTGCTGAAATATACGAAGTAATAGAATCCTTTGGATTTTCCTATCATGCGTACGCTGATGACATCCAAATAATAGTTAGCAGTAAACCAGAACTGTTTGAAAGTAAAGTTGAAAATCTCATTGAATGCTTGACTAAAATAGGTACATGGATGTCAAAAAATTGTCACAAATTGAATCAAGATAAAACTCAATTTTTACCTGTCGGTACATGGCAACAGCTTTCTAAAATTAATATTAATTTAGTCAAAATTGATAATAATGAAATACAATTCTGTGAAAGTGCAACAAACCTAGGGTGTATTTTTGACTCGAGATTATCTTTTAAAGATCATATAAAAACCATATCCAAATCATGTCCTTATCAGCTTTGTAATACTGTAATACTGTAATAGCTTGTTCAATGGATTACCAGAGAGATCTATTGCTTTTCTTCAATCGATACAGAATAGAGCTGCAAAAATAACTGTTGGACGTAGAAAGTATGACCATGTGATACCCATTTTAAGAGACCTACATTGGCTAACAGTGAAAAAAAGAATCAATTATAAGATTTGTGTGACTATGTATAAGGCTTTGAACGGGTTGTTACCAGTATATCTAGCAAATAAAATCTTAAAAAAACCAGCTTCTTCAACAGGTGTAAAATTGAGATCAGACTATGCCAACCTACTGGCAGTGACAACTACTCAACTATAAACTGCAACTAGAAATATTGCCGTGTCAGGACCAATTGCCTGGAACAGTCTTCCGCAATCGCTCAAAATGCCTGGACTAAAGCTTGATGATTTTAAGAGGAACTTATAAACATATTTATTTTGACATAGAAATACTTTATTGATTTGCACTTTATTGACCACTGATTTCATTTATAATAGAGAGCGCTTTCGAGAAATTTCAATTTTATAATGCGCTTAATAAATTGTTGATAATATATATATATATATATATATATATATATATATATATATATATATATATGCACTACGCCACCAACCACACTCTCAAAATTTTTCAATACGATTTTATTTTGTTTTATTTCACTAATTCTGTATTATTTAACTATTTATTTAATTTTATTTAAATGTTTAAAATAATCTACGACGTGTTGAATTATTATTCAAAAAAGTTATAACAACAAATTGGAGAATTATTTTTAATAAAAGCTGCTTATCCGAAAACCTCGTTCCAAATTATATATATATATGTATATATATATATATATATATATATATATATATATATATATTAAGGTGAGTCGAAATGCAAAAAATGTTAAGTTGGAGATCCTGTGCATGTCTAAAAAGTTGCTTTTTGATGTACTCGTTTGAAAAAACCTCACTTTTTATTTTATGGACAGTGTCTACAGGTCCCAACTCTGACTAGAAAGACTACATAAATACCCAATGTTAGTGTAATGTATTGCAATGTATTACAAATTAAAAAGAATGTAAACTGTAACGAATCAATGTTAAACAGCAACAATACAAAGTTGTTTAACCTAACTGTTAACAAAATCTTTCTTGCTGTCTATTTTTGGTATCTCTAATCTGGATTTCTTACTCTGTAACACCATGCCATGACGGGACTTTCTCCCATAAACTTTACAGCTGGCAGCGCTAACGTCTTTAATTGTTCTCTCTATTGCCTGTAAATGACATGGAACATCGGGCAGTAGTATTAGATGTGTCTAAGTAAGTTGATCATTTGAAAGGTGTGGTAGCATCGGAGAAGACGTAACATTACTCTGGTCCCAGTCAATCATGTTAATGAACGATGTCGCAGCCAAATTTAATGTTATATTCTTCTTATCAAAGACGCGAACCGGTATGTTACTATTAGTCTGCTTCTCTCTTGCTCTTATTATTTGTTCTACTGAAAAACGACGAATTTCCATATCACTATCACTAACTGCAGCTAAGAGAATGTTTTCAGCATGCGCAAAGTAGCAGTTATTTTTGAGAACTGGACGAACCACAGCCTGATATAAGGCATCAAGTTCCCGAAACAACTGAACTAAGTAAAAGAAGTTGTTAGCACCATTTCGGCAAGAAGAATTTGATTTAATTTTGAACCAAGAGGGTCCGTAAAAGTTCAAAATGAAATGCGTTACTCTTCTGAGAGGTTCAGATGCCACTTCTCTAGACATATAGAGACGCAAAATCCTGTTGGCTTTCGTCAACCATCGAGCATGACTTATATTTCCAGGTAAACTCTTCTCGAGGAAATCAATATCTGTAGAAGCCTGACGTCCACGCTGTACTGCTAGACATGCTTTTCAAAAACTACAGTTGGTCTGTGCTAAGATCCTTCTTGACAGCTTCATCACAATCAGTCACCTTACCAGTAATTGGCAAATAATTAACGACAGGCAATTCATTTGGATCATATTCTAGAGCTGAGCTAATTGTACCTGTCGATGTGGAAGTTCCTGTAGTTCGAGCAAAATCCACGCCTGCCAAAAACCTTCTAAATGGCAGCTCGTTACAGTGTGGAAGGCATACCAACCACTGTAATGGTCTACCTAAGTTCTCCTCCAGTTAAATGAAGTGATTTATCTACAGTCTAGACTATAGCCTACTGTAGTATACATCTATATTAGCCTACTTGAATTTTACTATAGATCTATTATTGCAAAGAAGAAAATAAAATTACAAAATAATATATTAGATATTTTGCTTGTTTCTAAAAAATCCAGCACATGGTTTGTTGTTAATGTTGGTGACGTCACATGCAAATAACGTTATAAAATTTACTCCATTTCTTTTTTAGCACTTGTAGTTAGGTGCTAAGCCATTTGCCAATGCATTTTAGTCAATGATTTATAGTTGGTACGTATTTAGATTGTACCAAGGAAATGGTTAAAATACACCAAATAAGGTAAAACTTTAATCAAAAGTTGGGACCCCTAAACGTTTCATAAAAAATCTTTAAATATTATTTTCATACTGTACTGATGCCAAGACAACTTTTTGTTCATGTACAGGAAAGATAAAAAAATTCGACCCACCCTAATATATATATATATATACATATATATATACATATTCATTTTATTTATATATATATACACCGAATGAATTGTAAACTGTTTGCTTATTTTGTTTCCCAATCATGTATCGGTGACCCTTCACAGAGAGTGATCCTGATACTGTTTTTGATATGTACGTGAATGATCTGCAATCAATCATCGATATCGTGGCTCTGTTGCTTTGTTGATTCTAATAGTTCACATGTTGCCCCCTGGTTTGACGACAAATGCAGGGATATAAAAAGGCTCCGTCGTGAACTGGAGAGTACTAAAAAATTGCATTTGGAAAAAACTTTCAGCATGACGAATAAAAATTGTACAATAATGAACGCTTGATTACCAGGCAAAATCGTTTAACGATTTTACGAAAGGGAGAAAGAATTATACAATGGTGGATCTACTGCGCATGCGTTTTTAGAAACCGTCGAACTGTTAAAAATTCGATTAAATTACAACGTGATTAAAATTAAATCGCCTGGATCATGAAAGTTTGATTGACTAATAAATTGGCAAACCTCTAATAATTAGGACGCAATAAAATTTTATGTGACATTTTGTTGTAAAACCTGTCGATCCTTTGTTGAAAATGTTAGAAGTTATGCTGAGGTTGCTTGATACTGAGTGCCTTGTGATGTGGTTACAATCGGTAATTTACAACGTGATTAAAATTAAATCGCCTGGATCATGAAAGTTTGATTGACTAATAAATTGGCAAACCTCTAATAATTAGGACGCAATAAAATTTTATGTGACATTTTGTTGTAAAACCTGTCGATCCTTTGTTGAAAATGTTAGAAGTTATGCTGAGGTTGCTTGATGCTGAGTGCCTTGTGATGTGGTTACAATCGGTAAGATCGGCTATTTAAGTGGAGACCACAACCAGGAATTTAATCAATTTTGAATTTATTTGTCTTGAGTATTATTTAGATTGAATCGATTGCTCTTGAAAGCTCATACTCGACTATGGACAACATGCTGAAATTAAGAGTGAGATATTGTGTAAAGGACATCGTTGAAAACTACATCACAAGTTTTAAAAAGAAAGAATTATTGTTAGAATTTGAAACGTACAAAAAATTCATGAATGAAAACATCGAAGAATACAACATCTCAGCATCCGATAACGAGACCATTGCAACAACTCCAATTTCCGACAGTGAACGTTTGTCAGAGTTGGAAACGTTGAGTTCCTATCAGGCGTTGACCGCCAATAAAAAATACAACCTGATGATGGATCTACAGGAAAATTATTTTGACGTCCTAACCAATCGTTTCGTAATAGACATTGAAACAAAGTTTGAGCACTCGGACCATGGTGTTCAACTGAATGTAGCTATTAAGCACAAAGATATCTACAACACTGCGTTGGCACTCCGAGGAGACTACAGACTGCCTTATGTCAAGAATAAATTAGTTCACGATAGTTGTCTCATATGTCTTGAGGAGTTTGTAGAAAAGTCATTTGTGCGTGTGACGAACCGCATGCATGCCCTTCATTTTGAGTGTGCGAGTGTTTAGTTCAAAGAGAAGGAATCATGCCCATTCTGTCGAAAGGTCGTTGTTGCTTCAATGTGGTATGATTACAACTACGAAGCCAACCTCAGATCTAATGGAACCACTGATGTGGAAATCCAGATGTCCACCGTGCCATTAACTGGAAGGGGAGTTGTGTGGATGAAAAATGCCGATGGTTTGATTAAGTCGCTTCTATAAAAATATTTTTTTTTAAGTTTTCTTGTAATTGTTAATTTCAGAAATTTTGGTTGACATATTTTTCTATAAATATTTTTTGTAATTATCAGTGTTGTTATTAAATATTTCTTCTTTTAAATGAAATACTTTCTTATAAAAAATTTTTACTGAGTCTGTTTTTTTAAATTAAAAAAACAAATCAAACTACGAAACATAAATTAAATTAACTTTATGTACTTGTACTGGCCAACCGTACTTGAGGGAGAAGGTCAGAAATTCTCACTCTTCTTACACTCACGTACTTGTCGATTCAAATCGACTCAGTATTTCCTTCATTCGGCCGAATAACAGTACGTCTCTATCGACCAAAATGTGTTTCTGTGAATTAATTAAAAAAAGCTTAGTTTGCAATATTTTCTATTGAGATAGTAATTGCACTAAGTTGGTGTTTTAACTTGGGCAACCGATGAGTCCCACAAGGGACGAAACGCCTCCAGCTTAGAACAACATAGATGTTCACAGTAATGCTTTAATTAACTTTTAACATTACACTCAACACGACAAATCTGTTGCAAATAGTATTCATTTAACATTTAACATGTGTTAAATGAAGCACTGTTTCAGCGTTGTTGCCATATGCATAGCCTTGAACTGTACGTATATTTTCTGATATTAAAATTAAAGGATTAAAATAAACAAAGACTAAAATTAATTGAAGTAAAATAAAATAAAGTTAAGTGTAATATTACAAGCTAAATTAGAATAAAATAAATAAATGTAATTAAAAAATTAATTATTAGGAAAAATAAAACAAACTGTTATCTCGTTATTATCAAATTAAAGTTTAATTTGATCGGTTTAATTATTAAGCCAAATAAATAATTCATCGTATGAAATGAAATAAATAAATAAAATAAATCTATTAGTTAAAATAATGTGCAATAAATTTATTGTGATATACAACAGCAACGTAAAATACTTTTATGTGAGCCGAAACGAAGGTCGTATGCATGCTGTGAACAATTGTAATATTATACTAACTCGACGCTCAGCGAGAATGTACACATGTATGTATGCAACCGCAAAATCTCTCCATGTTTATCACGCGATACTTCCGATCATTTTACTTGAGTTTGATTGGCCATCCATTCAATAAATCTGATTTAATTAACTCAATTCATCTTTCTCTCATTTGTTTATTCAATCACTCATTCATTCACTTATCCATTCATTCATTCACTCATTAATTACTCAATTCATCCTTATTTGCCAACTTTTTTTTAGATGAAACAGTTGCTAATACTTCAACAAAAATTAAAATTTTAATAATTTTCATCAGTTTTTTAACTGGTCAGATCTGAAATGTTTGGTTCTGTTGTTGGAAACTTGGCCTACCTGATTAAAAAACGAGACAACACTTGCAGACAAACGAGACAACACTTATTTGAGGGTCTTCTTGGTGGCCAGAAAAATTGAAAAAAGTATAAAATTGTTAATTCTCAAAGTTGTGCAAATAGAAAAAATAATTAGTAACAAAGAAAGCATCCAACAAAACAAAATCACGTGAATTATACCTACCAACGTATTAGATGAAATGTTAAGAAAAATAATTTATTTAAGTAGAGACAGAATAAAATCTGATGCCGTTAACGTTTCAATATAATTTAAATTCATTTTTATGTTCTGTTTATAAAAAAAAGTAATCGAGACCACTTCCTCATCATCTTTCCCATCATACTCTTTGTGAATCTCATCATTATCGTCATTATTAACATGTTCTTTGTGAATTTTTCGCTTCTGCTAGAGGTTTGACTTTTCCTTTCATGGACTTTTTTGAAGTTTATTGCTTTTTAGCTTGAAAACCATCAAATGCAACTATTGAATCTAATGCGGAGATGATTGAGGTTTTCTCCAATTCATACCTTTCTTTGTCTTCGGCAGCCATGGTCTGATAATTTTCTTTGTTTTTCCAATTTTTTTTCCTGCCTAATTCTTTGGCAACTTTTGTGACGGGCATAGTTGGAAATTGCTGGCATGGCATGGTTATTGACTGGAGAAACATCAAATGCAACAATCAAATATGATGCAGAAATGTATGAGGTTTTCCCTATTTTATATCTTTCTTTGTTTTTGGCAGTCGTGGTTTTATACTTTTCTTTGTTAGTGCATATTTTCCATCTCTTGTCTAATTCTTTGGCAACTTCTGTAAAACGCATAGTTGGAAAATTTGCTTTAATTTTTGGCATGCCTGGAAAATTCTGAGGACGACAATGCAAGAATTTTTCTTTAACTCTTCTCTAGTGGTTTTCATAAAGAAAGCGTAAGTTTTCCTTTTATTACGTATTTCCTTTTGGTTTTCCTAAATTTGTTGTAGCTATATCAAATTTTACGGGCTGTATATTAAAATTCAGCAAATAATTATGAAAAAAAGTTTTGATAAAATTAAATTATTATTCGAAATCAAAACCAGAAATTATTCGATTCGGCAGATCAAGTTAAGGAAGTGTGATGCTTTATTGCAGAATTAGTACTAGTCTTAGTGTGGCTGTGCTTTCTTACAACGGACCAAAAATGACATTGCTTCCTAGGGCATAATCACTTTGTACATAGGATGCATACATTCTAACAATGAACCAGCACGTCTTTTTTGGAACTTTTTTTGAAATGGTTTAATTCGTTTTAATTTTATCTAATTCGGGCTCAGAACCTTCGCGGTGTTATTAAATTAATAATAAATTAAAATTTTAGCATTTGGTATGTTTTTTGATTGATTTTGCTAGAATTACAATCATCACTAAGATTGCAATTAAGTTTTAAAAAAATGGTTTTATTGACGCATTTTTGTTAAACACTTCAAAGAAATTGGCGTTTTAGTATTTTTTCAGTTTGTCAGTCACTATGTGATGAATGAAAAAATAAACAAACAATGAAGGAAAGAATGGATGAAAGAATGATTGAACGAACGAATGCAAGTAGGTAATATGAAAGCATGAATGAATGAACAAAAGGAAGAAAATGTATGAATAAACATACAAAGGTACGAACAGACAAATGAGCGATGATAAAATAGATAATAGTTACTCATTTCATTTGACGAGGATGATGGCGATGAACATTTTAACGAGACTTCTACCATTGAAATAAATTTTTAACATTACTTTTATGATAAATTGTACAAAATAACAATATCAAAACGCCGTTACTTACATTAAGGGTGTGAATAAGTTTCACCTTGAAATGTAAAAAAGGTATGGGCCAGTATATGGGTAAGTATTGTTCATTCTCACTTTGAGTGGCAGGTTTGTGTAATGGTTGAGGCGCTTGATTTTGAGTCGCAGTGGCTATATTTGAATGCGAAGAGATACCCTCATATCACGTGCATGTTCGTGATGCCCGGTTTCACTTTTGTTCGCATTAGCTGTGTGTCTGTGCTGTTTGAATCTCCGAACATTTCAGTATGAGTAAACATTTCCATTTTTTGTAATTATTTTGAATAAAATTTGAAATGTTTAATGAGGTGGATTTGTTTTAGTAAATTGTTTTTCGTTGATTTTGAGTAAACCGTTGAATAATATCGTTAGTTTAAATTATTTTAACTTTCTGTTTTTGCAAACAATTAAACTGAGTAGCATAAATTTTTAAAAAACTGTTTGTAATAGTTAGATTGGATTGTGGTCACAAATAAGCGAGAACATGTATTTGTGGCATGTAAAAGCATTTGAGACCGGAAGGATAGTTTGAGTAATGAGCATCATTAGTTGATTGTAACAACGCAAGCGAATTGAAACTAAATAATAATTAACCAGCCAAGTGATTTTTAACAACTGGTCCTATTAATTCAGATTTTTTTTGTTTCAAACTAATTAAAATTTCTTTTCCAACTTACCTCTGCCTGGGTTCGAGCGCAAAGAAATCCCCGCCTAACCCACAAGCAATCCTAACTAACGTCTTTTATGCGGGGACTCGCGCGTGTTCAAATGGGGCGCGTCTTGTTGGTACCTATATAAAATCAAATTAGAAAGAAATGATTGCAGTTGAATTAATTGTATTATAAACAAACTTTTATAACAAGACCACGTGAAAGATTAATTTTCCAATTGGAATTTTTTAATATGCGCCAAATGATTTATGAGAAAACCTCAGCTGTTCAGGGTATAACCATATTAAGCCATTAAATAAGTAAAGTTTTAAAATTTCTGACGAGTTTTTTAAAATTTGTTTTCATTTTTGAAAAATATGGTTAAAAAAACCTTTTTTATTAATTAACTCCTTTCGATTTTCATTCCACAACTTCATTCAAGATGGCGACCCAGATAAACAAATGTTCGGCAACTTTAGTCGAGAATTTAAAAGTGGAAGCTGATAACAAGAGGACTTTTGATTTTAAAACGTTAAATTAATTCTTTTACGGACGATTTATTCTTTGTTATAACTTTGTTCACGCCAAAATCATTAGTCCGTAATGTTTGTTATCATTTTGAGTTGTTTGGTTACAAGCCGTGTATTCATTATTATCATTACCGCTGGAACCATCATTATCACTATCATCATCATCATCAAGATAATTTTCATCATTAAAGCAGTCGTTATCACTATCATCATCATCATTATCACTATCATCATCATCACTATTATTATTACAATCATCATTATCGCAATTTCTTTATAAAGCGCTTTCTTTAGAATATGTTGAAAGCTATCTACATAATCGTCATCACCATCGTAATCATCTCAAAAATAATAATAATAATAATAATGATAATAATGATGATGATAATAATAATAATGATGATGACAAGGATTATAATAATGACGATGATGATGATAATAATGATGATGATAATAATAATAAAAATAATAATAACAATAATACTAATATTAATAATAATAATTATAATAATAATAATGACGATGATGATGACAATAATAATAATGTTAACAACAATGAACCCCACCATCACGGCCAGCACATGCGACGCATTCACAATGGATTGCATAGCCAGCACAGCGTTCGGACTGACCATCGACTCCAGGACTTGGTGGAACATGGTTGGTGCGGCTTCAAAGTGACCAATCACATGCAGAAGAGATTCCCGCCAATCACATGCACGTGCTCATCACTATCATCATCATCATCAACCCCATCATCATCATCATCATCATCATCATCATCATCATCAACCCCATCATCATCATCATCAACTCCATCATCATCGTCATCATCATCATCATTCGGCAGCGTAATCATCATTATCACCATCACAGATTTTCCCCAGAGAATTGTGACTCTGGCACCTTGGACCCCATGCGTTTCATGCCGTTCGGGGCTGGCCCGAGAAACTGCGTGGGCGTGAGGCTGGCCAAGATGGAGATCAAGATGGCCGCCGTCCACCTCATCAGGAACTTCCGGTTTGTCGTCACTGAGGAAACAGATGTTAGTCTGCTACTGTGACGAACGTGTTTCGACTGCTACTGATTATATCTTTAAATTTTTCGTTTTTTAAACTATTATTTTTTTACAAATTGTATAACAAATAAATAATCAAATAAACTAATGGTTGTTAAATAAATAAATAATTGTTAAATAAAGTAATCATAATTAGTTATTAATTAATTAGTTAGTTAATTAATTAATTATTAACTAATTAGATAATTATTTTTTCAAGGTGCCACCGGTGTTTGAGAAGTTGACAATTAAAAATGTGAATGGCATCAAGGTAGGAGTTGAGAGCAGATGATCTGCGCACGACGTTTTGTGTTTTCATTTTCGAGTACTTCGCCATACGACTGAGACCTATTAAATGTTTTCATTAAACACGTAGTGGTACATGTTTAATTATGCAAAGACACAAAACCTTCGTTGTTTTGAAATGAATTTTAAATGTTGGCTTCCCAATTCTAAGTAGCACACAAATTGCAATTTAAAGCATCCAATTTGAGCAGCTGTGTTTTAAAATTGTCACTGGCATCTGATGACGGCATTTTTTTCCAAGTTTGTTTCGTTCGTCGAGAACTCCAGATCTTGGAAGCCCATGTCTGTCTGCTCGCGTGTGTAGGGTCTCCATCTTTGCAGTAGGCTCCTACTTTTCACATCAGACCTCGAATCTTCAGAGTGTGGTGTGTTTGTTTTCAGTAAGCAATGTCCTTATCAGTCTCCTCATAACATACCCTGACGTGAACTGACGATTCTTCTTTGTTGCTCTCTACTTTATTTTTCAAAACCCCTCTTTGTCTTCTTGAAGTTTGGAGTTGTAAAAAAGAGAGCCCTCAGAACGTTTCTCCTCTTCTCTTCGCTGTTTTTTATTAGGCTTAAAAGTGTGTTTGCGTTTTTGGTTGCCTCTGTGGTTTATTTTTGAATAAAAAATAAGGCCTTGGCGGGACTCGAACCCACATCATTTGGCTCCGGAGGCCAAGGCCTTATCCTATTAGACCACAAGGCCTAACAATTTGGAACGAAAATATTTCAACGCTTGAATTTGCTCAGAATGTTGCATAATTTGTTGATAAGCAGTTGCCTGCTCCCATGCTCTTCTCTCAAACTCACGATTGATGTAAGCCTTCGAGCTTATTATACTTGCTCATATACTTTCAAGAGTTTATGTAATTTGTCGATTTGAACTGTACTGCAAAGAAATGATGTAAACAAGAGTTGCATAATATAATATAAAACTTAATTTTGAAAAATTCTTGTGGTTTCTAGCTATGTCACTTAGTTATCAGACTCAGGAAATTTTTGTTATCATTTTAATTTCAACAAGAATAGATTTTCAATAATACATCCAGCTTATGATGATGATTGATGCAAAACTAAACAGGAAAAAGGATTCATTGATAGCATTTATGAATTTGGTGAAAATAATTTCTATTCGTTAAGATTTAACGTTTCAATCACGTTTCCAGATGTCCTTGCGTCCTTCAACTTTTGAAATACCTCAAAGGAAGACTTTCCATGCACGCACACATTTCAAACGATTGAAAATGAAAAACTGGAGTGGTGGAATCTGGACGAATTTGGCTTAGTTATCAGACTCAGGAAATTTTTGTTATCATTTTAATTTCAACAAGAATAGATTTTCAATAGTACATCCAGCTTATGATGATGATTGATGCAAAACTAAACAGGAAAAAGGATTCATTGATAGCATTTATGAATTTCCATGAAACTGGCTGTCAAATTCTAATTTCTAGCTAAAAACATTTCGTTTTTAAGCCCGAGAGAAAGTCGAATGATTTTTTTAAATTGAATCAATCATTGAGACATATTCAACTAATTTGAGTTATCTACAACCATCGTTGCAGAACATTTTAAAACTCTTCAGCGATATTTATGTGCGTGCAGCACAGTTTAATCACTAAAAAAAATTAAAATCATTTTTTTTCAAATTTTGATTGTTGAATGTTTGATTGTACATACGTCATATTCACAACATTCCCAACCATTACGATGTAGAATTTATTTCACGTCACATCAAGATGATTTGGCTTATTGTCACGGAGAATGAAAAATGTGATGAGCGTTTGACTCAGTCTGATATGCATAATTTGCCGTCCTTTGCAAATATGAATATCTAAAATTTGAGTTAAATTTTTAACAACATCAAATGTTTGCATAAGAAATCTTACATTTATGATTTAATTAAAAGTTTTTGACGAACGCACAAATTTTGGTTCCCATATAATGTCAGCTCACAAGCCATGTTTGTTTGGAAGAAAATCACCCACCGTAATTAATGATAAATTGCCTACAAGGCATCACATCGCTGCTAATGTTCATTTGAAGATAACAATTGATAATCGAAGCTTGGCAACCATCCAAACAACATCACCCTGATCAACTTTGAAATTTAACCTGCAAAACATCCACTTGATATTTCAATTACAAGGAAAACACCATCAAGAGCATCACAACAAGTTTTTCCAACAAGTCTTACTCAATTTTAATTTAACAAATTCATATTTTCAACAAATGTCATTAGTCAAACACTAGAAGATTTGTTTCCTGGATCATCTTGAGGGTCCTGCAAACGATCCAGTGCTGTTCGGCATTGCCTGACCAGAACTGAACTGTGCAGTTGAACTGGACACATCGCACACGAAGAATCATTTTGTCAAATTCGAACCCCGTCACTGCACGCTCTGCGTAACAGCACCAAGTGACTTCAACCACTCGCCAACCTTTCGAGATGCAAGTCGAACATGTCTTAAATTCAACTGATGTATGTTTGCAATTCATTTTGTGCATCAAGTCTTTCCTCGTTTTTATTGAGATTTGATAACAGTCTGAAAATCATATTTGCTTGTATATGTTGCTAGTTATGGGATAAGAAAGCACAGAATAGTCTCAGCAGGACAAGCTATGGCTGCAAGCACTTATTTTAAAATTGTATAACTGACACGAAAAAGAAATATCATTTTGTCCTGCACCACTGCTAACGAATTCAATGAATGCTTTTCCTGAGTTTCAGGTACAACTTTAAAATTAACTGTGAACAGACAAGTAAAGCACGACGAAACTTTGTAAATTAAAATAACTGGCCCAATATGAACGAAGTGGAAGTTACAGCAGGAACACATAAATCTACTTGCAAACAGTTTCAACAAATTGTACCCTACAGATATGAGATGTATAATACATACAAAAATCACAGCAGTGAGGAAGACAGTAGCTGATCTTAGTTGCCTGTCCGGTTTCAATATCTCTGAACTTGGGAAAAATGTATAAAAATCTTATAATATTATGTATAAATGAAGTTTAGATAACGAAATTCTATTTCATTCACTACATTCATATAGTTATAAAGTAAGTAGAATTATCTACGTTGCGCATTAAAAATGTAATTATTGTACAATTTTCCACTATTTTTAACAATATATCAGTTAAACAATAATATTCATAATAAAGAAAATTATTTTAATTAAAAACACCTCAAATGAGTGCAAGTTACTGTGGATAAGATAATAAGAACGGAGCTTTCTGATAACTCATTACGAATTTTCTTCAATAGTCCTGGAGCTTTCTTTCAAAGGCGAGTTTTATTAAATTTTATTTATTACCATATATAGAATCGGAATAATAACTTTTAAATGCTATCATTTAAATTGATGTATTTAAATTAAATTTAGATGTTCAAAAACTTTTTATTTTACAGATTTAATCATAACACATTATTTATTTATTATTTAGGTACAAAGTTAATATTGAAACCATTCTGAATTTATTTGTTATTCAGTTATAAAATTATGTCTTCTTAGTATTTATTAATTAATTAATTAACCTATTAAATTCATCACAATAAATAATAATCAATGCCATCGCGCTTATATTTCTAGAAAAATCACGTGTGAAATTTTTCTTAAGTTCCTAAATGTTAAAAGCGAACGACACGAAAGCAACATTATAATTATTATATTTTATATTCGTAAAAAATAAACTATACTTCTACAATAAAAAACTTGTCAAGTATCTTCTATTAATACATAGATAAACAATTTCGTAATCCAGATTTAAAACTTTAAAAATGATTTTTTTTTCGTCTCTAATTTTTGGTGGAGTTAAAGGTGATTGACTGTATTTGATTGAACTTTCCGAAGACGAACCTAACCCAAACTATGACAAATAAAATAAATTGTCATTATCTTAAGATGCAAAGAACGGACAAAAAATTAATTTTTTAATTGATAACAATTTTTATATTTTTTAATAATTTGCCACAAAAACATTTTTTTATTATTATTATTCTTTAAAAATCAGGATCTGACAGACGCAGAAAACTGTTACAACATGCAAGGCAGTAGTACGAAATTAAACAAATAAGTAAGTAAATAAATACAAAAAGTGAAAAAGAAAAATGTTAAAACATGAAAAATAAAATAAAATAGAGTAAAATAAGTAATAATAATAAAATAAATAAAAGAAAAGTAATTGACAATGAAATATAAAATGAAGTAATGGCATAAAAACGCAAATTAATAGACTAGATGAGGACTTAGTGAGTTAGTGGGGTGATCGATTTATAAAAACTAGTTCTGTGAATAATAAAGTTTTAGTGAGTATTAATATGTTCGAGGTGTCTTGTGATGAAGGTCTTTTCCTGGTATCTAGATTGGGCGACGACTTGATAGTTATGTTTGCGCTGACGAAGGTTCTGTGTTGTAGTTTTGATTGGTGGTAGTAGAAGATGGATGACGTGGTTGTTGTTATTTTCTACTTTCTTGAACAGCCTTGAATCGAGTGTGTTGAATATCTGAGTGACGGTAGGATATGATACAAGTAGATAGTTGAAGCGAATTAGTTTTTTGATGAGAGATTGTAGCTGCTGGAGTTGTTGTTGTCTAGCAAAAACCAGACCAGGAGGGATCTGCATAATTGATGCGTGAGATTATGAGTGATTCAGTGATTTCGAATAATTTGATGCCTCTGAGACCATGTGAGCGGAATGTTTTGAGTGCGTGAAATGTTTGAAAGCCTTTTGTGATGATGTGATTGATATGAGGTGCTATATTGAGTGTGGAGGTGAATGTGATGCCTAATATTTTTAATTGGTTTGTGCCAGTTATTTAACCATATAAGTATATATCTCAAAACGAGGAAATAATCAACATAGATTTAAGATATTTATATTATAAACTTGTATGAACTTCAAAACATTTAAACTCTATTGAAAAAATACTTTAATACAAAAAACACCTTAATTTGCATTATATAAAAAGTTAAAAAAAATTTTCTCTCCAAGCTAAGAAATAAATCTGAAAATCTTTCAGTTTATTTACCAGTTTGAATTGTGTAGTCCTCTGCGGAACACTAGACCAAACCAAACACTTGCTGTTTTTCATCGCATGGCAGTTTCATTCATCTTGA